TGTGACTCTAATTTAAACCTCTAACGGATACTCGAAATAACGTCGTCTAGTGCGTCTCTCGTGAATATTTGTATGTCGCTTAGAAACGTTCCTTTGCCGCTTAGAAGTATTTGTATGCCGCTTAGAAACGTCCGTATGTCGCTTACGACACTCTGTATGTGGTCTACTATGCTCCGTACGTCGTTTATCGTACTCTGTATGCTGCCTGTGGTAACCGTCGGTATGTCGCTTAGAAGCCTTTTTTGTATGCCGCTTAGAAATATTCGTATGCCGCTTAGAAATATTCGTATGTCGCTTAGAAATATTTGTATGCTGTCTACGAATGTTTGTATGTCGCCTACGACGCTTCGTATGTGGACTACAAACGTCGGTATGTGGTCTATAAACGTTCGTATGTGGGCTACGACGCTCTGTACGCGGTCTATAGCGGTCCGTAGCACTCTGTATGCGGTCTATAGCATTCTGTACGCGGTCCGTAGCGTTCTGTATGCGGTCTATAGTGGTCTACGGTACTCTGTATGCGGTCTACAGTACTCTGTATGCGGCCTACTAAATACGACGGTCTATTTTTTATAAACGCGTGATAGATGCGTGACATAATAGATCTACACGAAAAGATAACGTTCCTCACCGAACCGCTAACCGAAATACTAAACCTGATTCTAATCCTCATCTAAGCTGACTATAATCGAAACTACAACCGAAACACTAATACCTCTAACGTGGTGTGACTCTAATTTAAACCTCTAACGGATACTCGAAATAACGTCGTCTAGTGCGTCTCTCGTGAATATTTGTATGTCGCTTAGAAACGTTCCTTTGCCGCTTAGAAGTATTTGTATGCCGCTTAGAAACGTCCGTATGTCGCTTACGACACTCTGTATGTGGTCTACTATGCTCCGTACGTCGTTTATCGTACTCTGTATGCTGCCTGTGGTAACCGTCGGTATGTCGCTTAGAAGCCTTTTTTGTATGCCGCTTAGAAATATTCGTATGCCGCTTAGAAATATTCGTATGTCGCTTAGAAATATTTGTATGCTGTCTACGAATGTTTGTATGTCGCCTACGACGCTTCGTATGTGGACTACAAACGTCGGTATGTGGTCTATAAACGTTCGTATGTGGGCTACGACGCTCTGTACGCGGTCTATAGCGGTCCGTAGCACTCTGTATGCGGTCTATAGCATTCTGTACGCGGTCCGTAGCGTTCTGTATGCGGTCTATAGTGGTCTACGGTACTCTGTATGCGGTCTACAGTACTCTGTATGCGGCCTACTAAATACGACGGTCTATTTTTTATAAACGCGTGATAGATGCGTGACATAATAGATCTACACGAAAAGATAACGTTCCTCACCGAACCGCTAACCGAAATACTAAACCTGATTCTAATCCTCATCTAAGCTGACTATAATCGAAACTACAACCGAAACACTAATACCTCTAACGTGGTGTGACTCTAATTTAAACCTCTAACGGATACTCGAAATAACGTCGTCTAGTGCGTCTCTCGTGAATATTTGTATGTCGCTTAGAAACGTTCCTTTGCCGCTTAGAAGTATTTGTATGCCGCTTAGAAACGTCCGTATGTCGCTTACGACACTCTGTATGTGGTCTACTATGCTCCGTACGTCGTTTATCGTACTCTGTATGCTGCCTGTGGTAACCGTCGGTATGTCGCTTAGAAGCCTTTTTTGTATGCCGCTTAGAAATATTCGTATGCCGCTTAGAAATATTCGTATGTCGCTTAGAAATATTTGTATGCTGTCTACGAATGTTTGTATGTCGCCTACGACGCTTCGTATGTGGACTACAAACGTCGGTATGTGGTCTATAAACGTTCGTATGTGGGCTACGACGCTCTGTACGCGGTCTATAGCGGTCCGTAGCACTCTGTATGCGGTCTATAGCATTCTGTACGCGGTCCGTAGCGTTCTGTATGCGGTCTATAGTGGTCTACGGTACTCTGTATGCGGTCTACAGTACTCTGTATGCGGCCTACTAAATACGACGGTCTATTTTTTATAAACGCGTGATAGATGCGTGACATAATAGATCTACACGAAAAGATAACGTTCCTCACCGAACCGCTAACCGAAATACTAAACCTGATTCTAATCCTCATCTAAGCTGACTATAATCGAAACTACAACCGAAACACTAATACCTCTAACGTGGTGTGACTCTAATTTAAACCTCTAACGGATACTCGAAATAACGTCGTCTAGTGCGTCTCTCGTGAATATTTGTATGTCGCTTAGAAACGTTCCTTTGCCGCTTAGAAGTATTTGTATGCCGCTTAGAAACGTCCGTATGTCGCTTACGACACTCTGTATGTGGTCTACTATGCTCCGTACGTCGTTTATCGTACTCTGTATGCTGCCTGTGGTAACCGTCGGTATGTCGCTTAGAAGCCTTTTTTGTATGCCGCTTAGAAATATTCGTATGCCGCTTAGAAATATTCGTATGTCGCTTAGAAATATTTGTATGCTGTCTACGAATGTTTGTATGTCGCCTACGACGCTTCGTATGTGGACTACAAACGTCGGTATGTGGTCTATAAACGTTCGTATGTGGGCTACGACGCTCTGTACGCGGTCTATAGCGGTCCGTAGCACTCTGTATGCGGTCTATAGCATTCTGTACGCGGTCCGTAGCGTTCTGTATGCGGTCTATAGTGGTCTACGGTACTCTGTATGCGGTCTACAGTACTCTGTATGCGGCCTACTAAATACGACGGTCTATTTTTTATAAACGCGTGATAGATGCGTGACATAATAGATCTACACGAAAAGATAACGTTCCTCACCGAACCGCTAACCGAAATACTAAACCTGATTCTAATCCTCATCTAAGCTGACTATAATCGAAACTACAACCGAAACACTAATACCTCTAACGTGGTGTGACTCTAATTTAAACCTCTAACGGATACTCGAAATAACGTCGTCTAGTGCGTCTCTCGTGAATATTTGTATGTCGCTTAGAAACGTTCCTTTGCCGCTTAGAAGTATTTGTATGCCGCTTAGAAACGTCCGTATGTCGCTTACGACACTCTGTATGTGGTCTACTATGCTCCGTACGTCGTTTATCGTACTCTGTATGCTGCCTGTGGTAACCGTCGGTATGTCGCTTAGAAGCCTTTTTTGTATGCCGCTTAGAAATATTCGTATGCCGCTTAGAAATATTCGTATGTCGCTTAGAAATATTTGTATGCTGTCTACGAATGTTTGTATGTCGCCTACGACGCTTCGTATGTGGACTACAAACGTCGGTATGTGGTCTATAAACGTTCGTATGTGGGCTAACACAGGCACACAGGGCTTCTCACGGCAGATGGCCGTCCAGGACGGCCACTTAAGTTTGTCGGTACCCTTTGTGGCAGTCTGAGATGACCATTTATTATGTGTGTCATATATGGCCTTCCTTTACTACCACTTATGGTCCATCCCTCTAAAGGCCATTACAGCAAGTGGCCATGCAAGATGATCACTTATAGTCAGTACCACAGCCTACAGGAGGTTGTCCGGGTCGGCCATTTCTTGTGCAAGCTGTTCGTGGCCTTCCTGGACTGCCACTTGTGGTTTGTCCCTCTGGTGGCCACTACAGCAGGTGGCCGTCCGGGAAGGCCATTTCTTGTACAAGCTGTACATGGCCTGCCTGGACTGCCACTTGTGGTTTGTCACTCTCATGGCCACTACAGCAGATGGCCGTCCGCGACGGCCACTCATGGTCTGTACCACAGGTGGCCGTCGAGGAAGGCCATTTTTTGTGCAAGCTATGTATGGCCTTCCTGGACTGCCACTTGTGGTCTGTCTCTCTGGTGGCCACTGCAGCAGGTGGCCGTCCGGGAAGGCCATTTCTTGTGCAAGCTGTTCATAGCCTTCCTGGACTGCCACTTGTGGTTTATCACTCTCATGGCCAGTACAGCAGATGGCTGTCCAGGATGGCCACTCATGGTCAGTACCACAGGTGGCCGTCCGGGAAGGCCATTTTTTGTGCAAGCTATACATGGCCTTCCTGGACTGCCACTTGTGCTTTATCCCTCTGGTGGCCACTGCAGCAGGTGGCCGTCCGGGAAGGCCATTTCTTGTACAAGCTGTACATGGCCTTCCCGGACTGCCACTTGTAGTTTGTCACTCTCATGGCCAGTACAGCAGATGGCCATCCAGGATGGCCACTCATGGTCAGTACCACAGGTGGCCGTCCAGGAAGGCCATTTTTTGTGCAAGCCATGCATGGCCTTCCTGGACTGCCACTTGGTTTATCCCTCTGGTGGCCACGACAGTAGGTGGCCGTCCAGGATGGCCACTCATGGTCAGTGCCACAGGTGGCCGTCCGGGAAGGCCATTTCTTGTGCAAGCTGTACATGGCCTTCCTGGACTGCCACTTGTGGTCTGTCCTCCTGGTGGCCACTACAGCAGATGGCTGTCCAGGACGGCCACTCGTGGCCAGCGTGATTTACCTCCTGTGCCACCTGGCCTATGCAGCCAGTGGAGCCTCTCCGTGTATGGCCGTCCACGACGGCCACGCAGGACAGCAGCCCCTCACCAGTGCTAGTGATAGTGCACGTGCCTGCAGCACCTTTTGTAGTGTTGGGCAACAGCCTCCTTCCCAAAGCAGACACGTACCTAGCCTTGGCTCAAGTTCAACTTAGACCTGGCACCCTATGCAACTCGAACGGTCGTCTACGACGGCCACTCATGGCCAGCGTGCTTTGCCCCCCCCTGCGCCACCTCGCCTGTGCAGCCACCTGTGCCTTTCCACGCATGGTCGTCCGTGACGGCCGCGCAGGTCAGAGGCCCCTTACCAGCGCTAGTGATGGTGCACGTGCCCTACGGCACAGTCCATAGGGTTCGGCAATGGCCTCCTTCCCAAAGCGGACACGTACCCCTAGCCCTCGGCTCAGCGAACCCCCATCCTAGGGTTGGGGTCCCCCGCCCTCTGCAACCCTACGGTCGTCCTAGGAGGCCTCATAACCTAACCTAACCAACTATGCGATGTGTGCCGTGAACCCAAGCCGCATCTCGAAGACTTTCACGGATGCCGCGCTGCAGGAGGTTATTGACGATATCGCTCACCGCACACGGTGCTTCCTCGAGATCGTCAACTACAACGTCGAGGTATGCCGTCCATAAAACTAATGAAACTACCCATAATCCTGTCAATTCATGCTTTGTTTCATTTCCAGGGTCAACAATATGTTTGTGCGGGTGAATTGGTCGCTCTGCAAACCATGACCAACGTCTTGAATTACCTAAAGATGGAGAAGGTTGACATTGCGAAGGTATGGCGATCCTGTGATCAGTGATGCATGCGATTAACGATTGTTTAGTTGACGGGGAAATTCACCGTTGAGCGAGTGAAGGAAATGCTTGGGGAAATCATCAACTCCTGTTTTACACGTGCCAAGGATCAGCAGAAGGCGGAAGGCTACATCAAATTGGAGCGCGGGTTCGCAACGATCCCTCTCCCAGGGATTGATGTACCCTTCCATTCTTGCTACTTGTGGGCTGGTGTAATGCCATTCCGTGCCTGTACGTTGTCGTCCGAATAAGGCCTATGCTCCTGCTGATTTTCTTTGCAGACCTCTCTAAGAAGATCAATGCGGCGCACTTGAATCCGGACACACTCGTGTGCAAGTACGTGCCGAACCTGATCGCGAAGCCTTTCCAAGTCACGAAAGATTACGTCCAATTGATCTACGACCAGACGTTGTCACCGCGCCTCGACAAAGTCCTTCGTAAGTGGGATACAGAGAACTGGGGTTCGGCAGAGCAACGCCAGAAGCTAGCGTATATCACTCTAGTGGAGCTCTTGGCATACCAGTTCGCGTCGCCCGTCCGATGGATAGAAACTCAGGACATCCTCTTCAAACACTACAATTTCGAGCGCTTCATCGAGATCGGACCTTCACCAACACTCACAGGTATGGCGACGAGGACACTGAAAACGAAGTACGAGGTGCAAGACGATTCGGTTAGTCGCATCCGTGCGATCCTTTGTCATGCGAAGAACACCAAGGAGGTGTACTACCAGTTCGAGGATGAGGCGGAGGCGGCTGCTGACGAGTCTGTTCCTGAAGTTGCTGCTACTCCCGCACCAGTAGCTGCTCCCGTTGTGGTTGCTGCTGCTCCGGTCTCGGCTGCGGCCACCGACCGTTAGTGTTGAAGATGTTCCCCTGAAGGCGATCGAAATTCTCTCCGTGGTTGTAGCTCAGAAGCTCAAGAAGAAGGTGGAGGAAATTCCGCTTTCGAAGTCGATTAAGGACCTCGTTGGCGGCAAGTCGACTTTACAGAACGAAATCCTCGGCGATCTGCAGCTGGAGTTCACGTCAGCTCCTGAGAAGGGTGAAGAATTGCCACTCGAGGAGCTCGGGTCGGCCCTTGGCATTGGCTTCTCAGGGTCGTTGGGTAAGTACAGCTCTGGCCTCGTCTCTCGCGTCGTGGGTAGCAAGATGCCTGGTGGTTTCAATATCTCTGCGATCAAAGCGTATTTGTCGAAGACGTGGGGCCTTGGTCCGACTCGCGCGGATGGAGTCTTGCTATTGAGTACCACCATGGAACCTCCCAAACGTCTCGGTTCAGACGCAGAAGCCAAGGCGTGGCTTGATACGTTCGTCACACTCTACGCACAGCGCTCTGGGATCTCCCTCACTACCGGTGCCGCGAACAGTGGAGGCGGTGGTGGCGCAGGAGGTCCGACGATCAACAGCGAGGAGTTCTTGCAATTCCAAGCTGACCAAGAGCAATTTGCAGCGCAGCAGATCGAGCTGTATATGCGATACCTCAAGCGTGACTCGCGAGCGGGCGAAATCAAGTATGACGCGGAGAAAGCGAATGTTGTTAGCTTGCAGTCGAAACTCGACGCCATCTCCAGAGAGCACGGTGACACCTACATCGATGGCATTCAACCAGTTTTCGACGCTCTCAAGGCACGTCACTTCGACTCATCATGGAACTGGGTCCGTCAAGATGCTCTCCTCATGTTCTATGACATCATCTTCGGTCGTCTCACCACAGTGAACTGCGAGATCACTTCACACTGCATCGCTATCATGAACCGCGCTGATCCCGAGCTCGTGACATGTACTACATCGATCAGTGCGACCCCAACCGCGGCGATACTTGCAAGCTCGCGAAGCAGTTCGGCCAGCAGCTCATCGACAACTGCCGCGAAGTTCTGGCGCTGCCGCCTCTTTACAAAGATGGTGGGTTTATTACCAACTGTGTATGTTCCGTGATACTGATCGTTTCATTCCAGTGACATTCCCCACTGCGCCGCATACAGAAGTGACAGCCAAAGGAGACATTGTTTACTCGGAGGTTGTCCGCGAGAACGTTCGCAAGCTTGAGGCTTACATTGAAGAAGTGGCCAGCGGAGATACGATCTCAGCACTGATGAATATTCAGAAGATCCAAGATGACGTTCTGAAGTTGTGGAATGTAGTGAAGTCGCAGCCTGAGATTAGTGAAGAGCAGAAGAACCGCATCAAGGCTCTCTACGAAGGCGTCATACGATCACTGCGCAAGCGTCCTGAATCTCGTCCTCGTCCTGGGGCACCTCGTCCTCGTAGATCATCGTCGCAATTCCTTTGTCCTTAAGTGTCTGGCATCGCATCTGTCACAGCGGACAAGGTCCCTTTACTGCATTTGAAGTGCAAGGTCGGCACGAACTGGGAGTACAGTAGCAATCTCACTGGTGTATATCTCGACATCCTCCATGAGATCGCAACGTCAGGCACGACGTTTAAGGACAAAAATGCTCTTTTGACAGGCGTTGGAAAAGCTTCTGTCTGCGTCGAGGTGGTAAAGGGATTGCTATCAGGGGGTGCTCACATCGTCATCACCACTTCTCGTTACATCCGTGCCATCGTAGAGTAGTACCAGGGCATCTTCCAGTGTTTCGGTAGTAGGGGTTCCGCATTGACCGTGGTGCCGTTCAATCAAGGATCGAAGCAAGACGTCGAAGCCCTCATTGACTACATCTACTCGACTCTCGGGTTTGATCTGGATTACGTTCTTCCCTTCGCCGCAGTACCTGAGAACGGTTGACAGATCGATGGTCTTGACAACAAATCCGAACTTGCCCACCGTATCATGCTGATTAACTTACTCCGCCTACTCGGCGCCGTGAAAATCGAGAAGGCCAGCCGCCAGATCCTTACTCGGCCAACGCAAGTCATCCTGCCACTCTCACCGAACCATGGCCTGTTCGGAAATGACAGCTTGTACTCAGAGTCTAAGGTTTCGCTCGAGACGTTGTTCAACCGCTGGAACTCTGAGAGCTGGGGCGAATACTTGTGTCTTGCTGGCGCTGTGATAGGGTACGTTTATCATCTTTTCGCTGATTGAATATTGAGTTCACAATTTCGCTTCAGCTGGACCCGCGGTACAGGTCTGATGGACGCTACGAACGTCGTTGCACACGACGTTGAAAGCCATGGTGTCTGCACTTTCTCCGCGAAAGAGATGACATTCAACATCATGGGCCTGATGCACCCTCTCCTTTTCAGTATCACTCAAGTTGAACCAATCTGGGCAGACCTCAACGGAGGAATGGACCGCCTGCCCGACCTCGCTGACATCACTACGCGCATCCGCACAGATCTGAACAAGAAGAGCGAACTCCGCCGCACCATCGCTAGAGACAACGCCGCAGATTTCAAGATGATTAACGGTGTCGAAGCGGAATGCGTCTTACAGACGGTCAACGTAGTTCTCCGCACGAACTTCAAGGTCGAATATCCTGCACTTGAGTCCCACGAATCCCTTGCTGATGTCTCGAAACTACGTGGTATGCTTGATCTGGAGAAAGTCTTTGTTGTCACAGGTTTCGCGGAGGTAGGTCCTTGGGGAAGCTCGCGTACGCGATGGGAGATGGAGGTGAGAGGCGAATTCACTATGGGGACTCGCGCAGATGGAGTCCTGCAGTTGAGTACTACCATGGAACCCTCGAAACGTCTCGGTTCAGACATCGAAGCCAACATATAGCTTAATACGGTCGTAACAGTCTGAGCGCAGCGCTCTGGGATCTACTTTACTCCAGGTGGTGTGAGCGGTGGAGGCGGCAGTGGCGCAGGAGGTCCGGTGATCAACAGCGAGTTCTTGCAATTCCACGCTGGATTGTGTCGAATGACTGAAATTCATCTGGGGTCGACATCTCAGTCATAGGTCCATTAATGCATACTTCTTGGGCTTAAAAGTATTGATTTGTCCTTAATATTCCTACAAGCCCCGTAATCTCTGGGCATGTAGCATTTTCTCTTAGGGAGAGCTTTATTTACTTGGGAATTTTTCCTTACCGCTCGAAACTGCTTAATTAAGGCGTCAAGGATGAATAAGCAAAAGTTGACTTTTGCTGATGTAGTTAGAAGGAGGCGGGTCCGTGACCGGCGTGCCGAGTGATCAATCTTCACGCTGCTTATTAGGGATATTCCTGTTAATGTAGATGTCATCTGCTGTTAAATGTTCTTATTCACCTGTGTTAGCGTCTGCTTTTGTTATGTTTGAGTCTGTCCATCCTCTTCGATTCGACATTCCCCAGAAATAAGCCACGTGCATCGCGAACACGCGAGGACAGGCGCCTGTCCTGCTGTTGTAATTTCTCGCAGGCTTCACAGGTGGCACTTCCGTTTGTTCATGGGGGCTGGTTTGGCCTTTCTATTGCCAGAATGCACATAGGATGGTCTACAAACTTGTCATTCTTTCTGAGCTTGTTTTTCAGTCAAGTTCTGGCGACCTCGGAACAATTTGACGAAGAGTTGACGTTACGTCCTCTGCGGGATGGAAAGCTGGCCACTAGATTCGCTTTCACAACATTGCTGAAGGGTGCTACTCCAAGAAATCCGGAGAGTCTCGCAAGTGATGACGAATGTACGTTCATGCGCGAAGTTAAATGGAATTGGTGCGAACTGTAACGACAGCACAGCATTATACTTTATTCCCTCTTGCTCTGGGTCAGATTCTCCGCGAATATGCGGTCACGGAGCTGCATCTGTCGCTGAACGCGGGGGACTGGAACTATGATAGATGGGGCTATCCTGACGAGCCCGGTGTGGGTACCGGAGCAGAGCTCTGGGTGTGGATGGGAGATGGTGCTCCCGTATCGTGAGTCCATTCACTTTATTGTCACGGCGCATAGTGAATTCAACTCGAAATGCTTCTCAGTGTTGACGAACGATGGCAAGGTCTCCGTAATGCTCTTGCCGGACTCTTCTGTGCCTCACTGGGTTCACTGGATGAGCAGCGCACCACGTCACCTACTCTATCGTTCCAACCTGAAGGGTCACTACCAGATTGGAAAGCCCCTCACCAGCTACGCCACGCCACGCTACCGTCGGAGCATGTTTGCACTGAAAATCTTACACCATTCCTCAAACTGCTTCCTTGCAAATCGCTCTCAGGCATCGCGCGTCTCCTCAATCCCCATCGCCTCTTTGATGCGGACTGGCATGGACTGGGCGTCAATGTCAGGTATCATCAAAATGCCGGTGTGGAAGTGAGACTAACCTTTCAGGCCGTCTTCGATCCCGTCCGGTTATCCCCCAACAAGCGTAGAGGTTAGCATTTCGCCGCCTCTCCCACGTTATCGTCATCATTGATGACTGAGCTGGCTACGCGTGCGCCACTCAGACTGGTCACTCGACTCGATATTTGACCGCACAATTGATAGAGCGTGCCCGGTTGCACACTCAAGCGAGGTCCGAGTGGAGCTATCTGGGTCGTACACGCTCTCCCCTGATCCGTCCGTAATTATAGAGGACCTCGCGGTATTTGTGGTGAAAGATAGTGCGTTGTGTCCCTGTGACATATTCAGCTTCGTTAGTAGCAGCTGACCTACCGTCTTGTAGCACAGGACGCGCTGGACATCGCAATGCGATGGCCTGGAGAAGCGACGTTTTCCTATCGTGCGTATGAAGAACCTGTTTTCCTGACGAGTTTATACATTAACGACACAACTCCAGCCTTGTTTGCCGCCGCTGAACCTCTCACACATATGTCCGTGCAGCGCACTCTCAAGGGCTCGAGCCAGTCAGACGCCCGGCTCTCGCTCGTGATCACCAACAACCTCCCAGTGCAGGTCCAAACAGGCTATCTCGAGACGATGCCTTGGCTCGCACAGTTCTATATCCACACCCTTCGCGTTCGCAGTGATGGTGTCTCACGTGGTACGTGTAGTCAGTCCAGCGGGGCGATCGCCATCGCCCATGTCAATCTCATGCTCGCGTCTATACTGACATGGGACGGATTGCTTCGCAGACGATCTCGTAACGATCATCTCGTACGCTGCGCCTGTCCCGCACGCCCGGCCCACCCTCTTCCAAGCTGCACTGACGTTGCCGCCGAAGAGTACGTTAGAAGTTACGATGGACGTTTTGAAGCCATTCCTGCGATACACCGAACATCCACCCGATGCACAACGTGGCTGGGATCTCCCCCCAGCAGTTTTCGTGCCGTTTTCCTTCGGCAATCTTTCAGAAGCAGGCTTGAATGTTTCTGCTGCTGCGCTGACGACACTGCGACGGCGGCCGAGGCGGATCTACACGTCAACATTACTGGTCGACCTCGCCACGCCAGATTTCAGTATGCCGTATAACGTCATCATCATGAGCTGCACACTCATCGCACTGATATTCGGGAGTGTGTTCAATCTGCTGACGCGCAAATTCGTGGTGGTGTCTATAGAGAATGAGAGCGGTGCCGGAAAGTCGGATCTATCGTAGTGTGTCCTATCTTTGTTGTTGCGCTGTACCACTGAGATGCTCTTAATGTACCCAACAGGCAATAGACCGCGTGATTGTTTCACTACTGACATACAGTGGCATTCAGCTAACCTCAGAGTGTCCTGGACAAGCATCTGCGGATTTTATTCAAGCTCGTTGTCGAAGCCTTGAGGCTATGTCGTCTTTCTGTCAGTTTTTTCATCGTGGACAACGGCCGTCGTAGAATATACCAGCCATCAGAGATGTCTATCACGTCTCTTGCAGTGTTCTGCACAAATTGTTGATTACGCGCCTGCAAGACCTATCCCTTCTGGTGACAAGACCAAGACGGGGACAAACACCGAGCGATGAATCGGGCTCTCTATTGCGACGGCCGTAAGTCATCACTGCAGCACGTCAACTAAATTCTTCGCCCATTGTAATTCTAGTGAACCGATAATAACATCCTGTGGATAGGACCAGTACCTACCTAAGGTAGCTAAGGTGCCAAATCGATGAGAGCCTCGCTCAGTCACCGCGTCGTTGGCATCGCAATTGGGGACTGCCAATTCTTCTGCTCTGATTGAAGGCGGAACGATTTCATGGGTACATCTTAGATCCGCTAAGGGCCAGGGCGATTGCCTCTCCGAGTCGGATCTGACGTCCCGACGGAATCCTCTTATCCGTCCGCGATATCGATGCCTATTACCAACGTGGCTCGGTTGTGGCTCGGACGTCAAACTTCCATCCCTCCGTGCGCGCTCGCTCTCGCACCACCTTGCTGCACTTGGAGGGAATACGGCGTCACTTACGAAGATCCGGACGGACACCACGCTAGTACCTGTTATTGCGCATTGCGAGCACGTAGACTTGACGCCAGCATAGAACGCTGAACTTCAAGCAGCTTAGACTCCTGCTAGCTATTGGCATGCCACTGGCAGGATCAGGCACGACGGTCGAAGTGAAATTTTTCAGCTGGAGCAGTACTAACATGCGACCGAATAATATTGCATGTGTGAGTCACTTCCCGGAGGCAGCGATCGTCCTGGGCTGGGATGTAAGATAAGGGCCGAGGTGCGCTACGGACGGGTGGATCTGATGGTCTGTGTATACAGACGTTTCCGTATACGCCGGTGTAGCACAAGGGCGAAATACATCTCGCCGCTCGGTGTTCCGCGCATGTGCGATACAAGCTTCCAACGCCGCCGCTCACCTTGCTCGCATCTTCATTACCTCACCGGAGGGAATGATAAGTGGAGCATCATATTTTACCCAGCCGCAGGTATGACGAAGTGTGGGCCGTGTAAGGCAACTCTGCTTGCCATCTTGTGGCGCAATCTGATTGAAGGCGAGTACAACAACTTCGGACAATATTTAATTTCTCTGCAACACAGCAGAAAACGATCACTGGCATCCGTATGTAGTCGCCTCGATATTCGGAAGGTAGGCATCGGTACATATGTATAAATGTCTAGGATGACATACGTTGATAGAGAAAATCGTATAGTGACCATCACATGATGCTGGCACGGTGGACGAGTCTCAGGGACAGGCCAAACCAGCGGCCTGCGTGCTAAGACGGTGGAGATATCTCACGACAGTGATCCAAGAACAATGTGCTGCACTCATGCACCGCTTTCGAGCTTCTGATATTGGACGCGTATTGGGCCCAGCGCTTCGAGTCATTTCCACTACCGCATAAAAGACAAGGCGACCACAACGCGTCTTTCTCCACAACTCCCACCATCTTCGCCTTCCCCTCGTCCAAGTGCCGCTCCGGCCCAAAGCCGCCTCCGTGACTCGCAACACAGGGTCATAATATCCGTTAGCCACGACATACCTGCAACACTTCTTGCATTCCGCAATGTGTCGACGAATCGCGTACGTGCCACCGTGTTCATTTAGTGGCCATCACTGACAGCCACCATCGCAGTGAAGGAACTCGGTGGTCGAAGTGTGGGGTAATATTTCTTGAGAATTTGTTCTGCATGCACGAGTCAGCTGAACACGCACGTTCCGCAGCATTTCCAACGTCACCTTGTCGTCGCCGTCATGGATTGCAACTCCAGCCACTGCGAGCGAAGCATCCTCCACCCCAAACACTGCCGGGAACCCACTTGTCTGAAGGTGAGCAAGGCCATCTAAGCATGGCGCCCCGAGGCATCATGCGTCTTCTCTGGATCGTGTTCCTGAACAGCATGCGGTTATCCAGAACTACGGCCCTGATGTACAAAAAGACATCGATACGGTCAAAGACGACTGCTTCCAGTGTCGCGCTGCGGCCGCACGCACACCACCGTCGTAGAGACGTCAGACGGACGTCCACACTCCCCGTTCCGCCACATGGATCGCCATCGTCTACAGCGCAACGATGCCAGCCACTGTCTGCCACTGTCGCACGGTCCTCCCGTAATTTCACATGTCACTGCATTTGCTTCGCATGTCGTCGTCTTCGTTATCCGCACGCCCGTCTTGTAGTTATTAGTGGTTGTAATGCATTCGTGCATTCGTCAGGTGAACCGTCCTCGGGATCGTGCCGTGGAACTGGTGGTACCGCTGTGAACCGCGACACCATGGGGATCACGCACGAGCAGCAAAACACAAGACTTGTACACGCACCCCCGCATCTGGCACGTGCATGGCGTGTCTTCCATCTCATATCCGCTCGATGGGCTGCTTGATCGGAACGCTCTCAACCCATCATATGCGTTTCTTCATCCAGATGACTCGTTCCGAAACATTGCATCCTTGGTGGTGTAAACGTCGCGAGACAACCAGAAGTGCAGACATCTTCGAGAAGAACGAGTAGATCATGAGCATCGCTGTGAATGGTTTTCACTGGTCCAAAATTGCACATGATGCATGCACTCTGACACTTGACAGAGAAGCTGACCGTTCTCTCCGATCCATCAGTGGGAACACGAAACCTTACAGCGACGAAGGGCACGGATTGGAAATTGCTGACGAAGTCAAAGGCCATTTTTATCATCATCCGATTTAATGGGGTGTCGCCGAGGAGACGCGGTTTTTACTGGTTGCAGTATCAGTTATTGGAACGCGAACTGGATGCTAGAGTGGACACGGTACAGTGATATCAATCCAGCGTACAAAAATGACGACATACTTACTATCAGTAGCAGCCGCGAACATTCGAAGCACTACAGCTGCATGGTGAAGCACGCAGGCAAGACAACGCAAGGGTGGTGTGAAGCGGAGTCAGTCGGGCGCGAGCGCAACACATTCACGCACGTAATGAGGACTCATCTGCACGTAACTGCAGAGATGAGTGGTACAATCATATGAGGCTATCTATCGCCCAAATTTACCAATCGCGTGGAATGATAACGCGCTCAGGTAAGCGCGATGTGCTGAGGGCGCGAACGACATCATCGTACCATTGACTGCTCAATGAGACACGAAACTTCGAGCCAGAACCTTGGCGCGATTGCCTTAAGAGTATCAATCAGCGCGACCAGCACAGCCGTTGTAGATAAAGGAACATACAACACGCAGGCCAAAACAAGCCATACAGATGCGGGATGCTTCACACCGACTCCACCTGAGTAATGTTTCCGAAGAACAGTGATACGAATACGGATGAAGACGGGATGCACATCAGTATACATACAGGTTGGCATTCGCAGCAGCTCGTAAAAGAATTTAGGGGCACACCATGGCCAGATACGCCAGCACCCACCACGTCATTATCGCGATAGACAGCAGAAGCGGAATCCTGCTACCTCAAATTAAAAGAACGGAGATAAGTATACCAGACATTGTCCAAGATGAGACAATGACGGCAGGTCGCTTCTGGAGCCAAAGGAAGGCGTTGCCTCAACGATGCAACGTACACGTCAAGATAGCCCGAGAAGGTGAAAGGATGGATATGCTCAGTGTAAAAGAAGGGCTCACATACGTATAAGGAAGGACATAGCGAAGGTTTCCCCAAACCGCGGATATGCTTCGTATCCTAGATGTATCCAAACCGATCGACAACTTGGGATCTGATTTGAAGGATAAAGAACACGTTCCGTCAATGCAGTCAATGTCCACCACGGAGTCGGCCCGTCCAGTACGTAACAGGAGGCCAACTAATGGGAGGAGACATTGCTTGAAACTGGTAAGGAGCTGTCTCGAATGGAGCTGAATGTTTTGAGATAAACCTTTCCGCAACTAGTCAGTGTATATAAAACGGGGCAAAGAAGTCCAAGTTGCAGGTAATCAGGAAGTTGTTGATAGCTACAGTGCCATGCTAGCTAGGACATGTTCGGTGCGTCAACGAAAAGATATGGGTTTGATTGCGTGATACACGATAGCCATCCTTGTCGTCTTCTAGGTAACCCCAAACATCCACCGCGCCGCGCTCCGGCAACCTAGTGGGCGTGGTTCTTGTGATGCTCTGCAAAAGTAGAACGACGTGAGTCTAGTAACACCAGCCAAATTCTGAAAATTCGTACTCAAATGCACTGATAGAAATATAGATTAATGCTCGGAGCCATCTCAGGAAAGAATAGCGCGTACTCTGATAGTCGATGGTGTACCCAAGACCGCAAATGCCCAGCATCAGGAACAATAGAGGCGCACCAGACGCATTTTTGCCGCTAAAATATCTCCCCTTGATACCACCGCCAGCGCTCGAAGCAGCGGGTCCCTTCGGCAGTTTAGAGTAAAAGTTAACGAGAGGACCAAGTCCTGCTCCGGAGCCAGACGACTAACGAAGAAAAATTAGGAACAGACAGATTTGTTCACGACTTCGCTCACCAAGAGAGAGGGCGTAGCGACTTTGGGAGGGATGAGCCCTCCGAGCTGGCGGCGAATGAGAGTGGGTTGCATGATGGCGGTCGCGAGTGGAGTTGGTCGCGGTCGACGAGGGTGACAAGACTTTATTTGTTCCGCACAAACAGTGTCAGCCACCATGTTTCGGAGGAATCGGAGCCACCGAGTGCCCTTGAACCGTACACAAATGGTCTATGTCTATAAATTTCATCTAAGTAGGCGAAGTCTGTGAATTATGCTAAATCTATGCTAAGAGTCCGTGTAGTTCCTTGACCCATTCGAATTCATGGTAGCAGTGTCTACAGTCTAAGAATATAGATAGAAACCCGGACACAAAGGAAAACAACGGGACTGTTTACGAAACGATTATTTTGAACCTTGTAGTGACAGGGTCAAGTATCGCGTGTGTTTGGTAATGGCCATGCGCACTCACCACATTCTAGCCGATGTCTCCAGTAGGCCAAGGAGATCCTGAGCATCTTGCGCCTTGTGTCGCATGGTTCATCCTGCAAAGTAACAGGCCGAGGTAGTACCGACAGTGGACCACTAATGACGCCTAGTTATGGAAGATGAGACCACAGTCATCACGAAGACATATAACTGCCTGTGAACGGAGTACTAGCCTGACGGTCAATAGAACGTTTGGCAAGTGGTGTCTTCGGAGTGAAGAGAACCCGATGCAGCATTACGCCTCGACACGTTTTTAGGCTGAAGGGACTTCTTGCATCACAAATGAGTTCATATGGGTGCATGAGAACAACCCCAGGACATACGAATGCTGTGCGTTCGATACGACCTGTCAACACAACTTTGGCGAGTTTCGATGTTTCACATTCGCACCACCAACACCACGAGACCGACTTGAAAAGACGAAAGAAGAGAAACGTAAGATTCAATGTCGGGGACAATGCACTAAGGGTACGCAAAAAAAGCTGAGCAATAAAGAAAGGAGGAGAGTTGCGTGGCGTACCTATTTGATAGCAACACTGGAAAGAGATCCGGCAACATCACAGTAAGTTGTCATGTATAATGCGGGGAAAATTCACAGGGCACCACAAAGTAGTATTGTGGTCGAAAACCGGGGGTTCGTCAGAACGAGCGTTCAACTGTACTTGGTGGATCTGAGCGCGTTCGCCTGCATACATGAACCTTGCGCTTCCTCTGAATCCTTCGGCATCGCCGACATTCATCGTCTTCTCTTCGCAACCTTCGCGTGCTCGAGTAACTTGAGAGAGTTACTTCATACAATATTTGTTGACTTTCTTTCAAGAGAAATGCCGTCGCCGTCCCCAAGCCACAGGCCGATCGTTGCGGCACGTGCTCAGGAAGATCCTGAGATCCGCGCTCACGTGGCACGCGTTTGGACAGCAAACTTGAACGTCGCAGACATTCAGCAAGCGCATCCGCAAAGTATCCGCAAATCACAAAAGAGATGGAAGGATATTGAGAAGGATTTGCCGCCCCAATTTACCCGAAGACATGGTAAGTACATTTCTCCCAATGACTGTGACTGTTATCTGATCATGCGCGCACAGTTGGCATGATTTCGATAGGTTCGACGTTCTTTCGAATTCGAGAGTCTTGAACTGACCGGGGGATCGTTCAGGTGGCGTAGTTCGGACTGGATTATTTTTTGGTTCTGCAGTGAGCTCGAGGAGCTTTCGGAAACCGTGGTATCTAACGCAAACTGTTCAGGATGCTCTACATCATGGCGGTCCAGTTGGCGCTCTACTGGGGTATGCTATAATAGGTTCCGTTATGTACTCTCTCTGTATCTCCATAAGGGAGATGATCGCTTTCCTGTGGGTATTGCAGTTCAATGCAGCAATACTTGGTTATCTCGGTTTTTCTCTTGGTCGGGCGTCTTGGGTACGTTGTCATTTGAATTGTCTTCGCCCTTGCCTCTGATGGTTTTATGCAGTACAGTTGGAGTATTATTCTTCGTGTGTAACCTTGCCCGATTGCGGTATTTTGGCTCACAAGGAGAGTGCAGCTGTAGAGATAACTGCAGCAGTAGTCATTGTTGGCTTCTGGGATGTCCATCGCATTATTCCGTGAGATCCATTTGGTTCTTGAACAGACCTCGAACTAATTTCTATTCAGGCTTAGCGTATTGTGTGGAACCTTTGTGCGCTGCCCCACTCCATGTTTATTATGTTATGTGCCTTGTGTATGACGGGGTAGCTGGCTATGGTCGTGGTTTTTTAACTGCTTTCCGCCCAACGTGCACGGCGAAGAGGAATTCTGGCTCTCCTTGGCCAAAGTTCTGGTGATCGTTACATTAAGTGAGCTTCCACCATTCTGTATGAGTTCAATGTTTACCACTTTTAAAGTTATCGTCAACCTACCTAGCACTGGATGCTGGGACTGGATTTCAGGGGTGAGCTACTCCAGACGAAGAATCAGTTGGCACGGCTTACCAGGAGCCTTAGTATAATTGGTTTCAAGAACTGGAAAACTAGATTTGCATCATCCTACCTTGCAGTTACTGGTCCTGCAGGCTATTTCCTAGGCTTCTGGTCAGTACTGATGCAAGCAATATTTTCGTTCGCGGGTTCCGAAATGCCGGGTATTGTGAGTAGACATGAATCAGGTGCACTGTTCTATCAAACTGATATGGTATGTATGTAGCCTGCAGGAGAAGTGATCAGTACACATCTGGTATGGGTTATTGTTCAAATTGCGCCAAACCTGGCTTACTGCCGTTAAAGAATGTGCCACGTGCACTCGGAAGGGTATGGATTAGCATGTCGGTCAGCACCTTTGGACTTATGCGGAGAGTTTCTGATTCGCACCACAGCCTTCTTTTCATTGGAGGTATTTCCAGTGTGGGCCTTCTTGTTCCCCTGTCGGACCCGAATTTACAACCCAACCACGGAACTGGATACTCATCGCCGTTCATCATCGCCCTTGAGCTGGCCGGCGTCAAAGTGGCACGTACTTAATTTTTTGACGTAGCGCATCCTATGACTGATGACAATGCAGTTCCACATATTGTGAATGCTGCTTGCCTACTATCTGCTGGTTCGGCGGCCTGTTCGGACATCTACCTCAGCAGCCGTCTTTTGTTCTTTCTGGCTCGCACGGCACGGATGCGCGACGAATGAGCTCGCCTGACATTCGAGTACCACCAGCGGCTCAGGGGTTTGCGTCAATATCTGAACGTAATCCTCCCACTTCCCGTGAAAGGGCTGCTGCAGCTCCACAATCACCATTCGTCTTGCCAGTCGCTGCTGTACTGATCTCGTCCCTGAGCGGCCTACTGTCAGATAATTGCGCTGTGCGCTCGACTTTCTTGTCTGCAACAATGTTCGAGGAGTAGAGATATCATGATCGTGACCCGGACCAGCCGTGGCGACGTCGGTCACGAATTATCTGCCGCCGTGACTCCCCCGGGCGGCGGCCTCACAAATGAAGCGCTAATTTTTGGACTCTCGAGGTATCCTGGCATCGCCCCTTCCAACACCGTTGGTTCGTGACGAGCCCATGTCTTCGAACATCATCACTTATTCTGCCTGCTTTTGTAAGAGTTTTCGTGTTAGTAGGACTGATGACACTTCCACGCTTCCGAGACGAAGGGGACCACGAAGACTCCTGCACCTTAATTAGGACCGCGGACGCCCCCCTCTTCGCCCTCTTCAGTTATTTCCTCCACAGCACAATCGACTCCTCAGACACCGCTGACTTCTTTGTCTTCTGCAGTAGTTGATTCCTCGGAAACTATCAGGTTTTTCTTCTCCGGCCCAGTCTACTCTTCAGACGCTGCCTACGACCGGACTTGGCTTTCTTTTTCTCTCTTTGATGCCGCCTCATTCTATTCTCGCAATTCGTAGTCTATCGACGTTTGATAGTTCTCCGTGCCTCGCTTCTCAGAGGTTCTCCTACGCGACTCCTACTGGACTCACCCGTATTCCCTAACACGCCCTTTGACGTCGTCCTTCGCGCGATCTAGTCTGGCATCGTCCCACTCTGGAATTCCTCCGAACACCGACAACTCCCCCATTTCACTGCCCATGGTGTTCTGGCCTCTTCCGAAGAGGTAGGCACTCTGCTGCAAGACAGGACAGGACATGATGTTTTTGGCTCTTCTGATGTGTCATGCGTTACCTACCCAAGCCTTTCTGCCCTCTGTATCCTACTCGCTCACAGGCACATCGACAGTGCGACGCTAGCCTCAACGTTTTCGCTAGTCTTCGCGTCTGCGCCAGCCTGTCTCCGATGCCTGGCGAACTTCTTTTCCTCCCGTTATACTGTTGCTGTCGCATCGATGTTCCCCTTATAACAAGACCTTGCCTTCTACGTTATTCAGCTCCCATCTACTTCATCTCACGTCTGCACCGTGCGTCAGGGATAAGGAGCGCGGCGAATGTCAACCTGTATATTCAGCTGCAGCAAAAGAATATGATAGGGATATCAGCACATGGTCCATCACAAAGAATAACGTTAGATGCCAGCAGGACGATGCGCGGAAACTAGGTAATGGCAATGGTAACTAAAAGTCCAAGAATGAAACAAACCGTAGTACTACAGCACCGGAAGGTATCTCATTTCCAACCACTCTCCGAAGTCCGACCTCGAATCTAACGCTGGAACGGTAATGACAACAGGTGCATCAAGCTGGTGGGACGGATCCAGCTGATGGGATGGGTCCGTCTCGTCCAGCGTCGTGGGGCGACGCAGAGCATTAGTGGGAGACTCGCCACGCATCTCTACGTCTAGTGAATGGCCAGCAGACTGAGACGGAGGATGTACGAGAGGCTGTGCTTGGCCATCCGCGTTCACAGCTGCTTCCGGGTCCACCGCATCTTCAGTTCGTCCTGCAGGCCGTGCCTCAAATGATGGCCTCGCCGATCCCTCATCGTCGTGCCCTCCGAGCAGGCGCTGCGCCTCCTGTCGGCGGTGCTCCTGCTTGCGTAGCCACGACGGGTACTTGTACATTGCGACGGTGAGGCTCCAGACAGGCGTGAGCGCCAGTAGCAAAGCAGTGATCTGGCCGAATCCTTCCATGCTGTTTTCTCCCGTGAAGATGCAGTTCTTTTGGATCTGGAGCTCGGACGCTACGATAGCGCAGGGTTAGTGATCACGGCCGAGATGAATATTGGAAGTACTCACAGACGACGTACATCACCCACAGTCCAAGAACGATCAAGTTTCCCCACATGACCACGTGGCGCATACGGTCTCCCCAGGGTGGAATGACCGATAGTGCCACAAGATACCACTGCCGATACAGCGGGGTCCAGGGTTGGGCGAGGTCTTCCAACACCCATGGGTGACGCGGTATGTCGTCTACACAGAATATCTGAATATGCGACGAGACGAGTAGATATGCGCGCGGCTGTGGCCGGAGATGGCGAGGACGATCGTCAGGATCATCGTGATGCCGAGGGAGAAGATCAGCCACAGCGGCCAGATGACGAACGTCGTGTCGTTTATCTCCTTTGCGGTGATAGGCTTGAGAAAGAAGACTAATATTGTGTTTGCATTGATGCATGTTTGGTTGTAGGCGGGAGAGACGAAGAGGATGATGCCCCACGCCCACTGGAGAACGACCTGAGTGAGTAGAGCAAGCGAAAGGATAAGGCGCTCCTTGTTCTGCTCAGCCTTGATCTTCTTCTTGTGTGTGTTAACGTAGACTTCGCTCACGAGCACGTTCCCGTCGGCGTCGCCGTGAAGTGTGTTTGGGCCAGAAATCGCGTTCCGTGCGAGTTCGCGGGCATAGTAATCACTGGGCCTCAAGCACCAGATCGGCAACAGAGGAGCCACAGCGAGAGAGCTTATGCATGATATAGTCGCGAAGCTGCAATGGGGAACGCGTCAAGCGCATGCCAAATACTGAAGTGACAACAAATTGGACATACTTCAGTGTCAACAGTGCATGGTGCAGAGTGATATTTGTATTAATTTTTTGTACAATAGCTGCTATAACAAGCCCACCCGTCAACAAGGTGCTAGCCCATGCACTTGCGACCGCATCTCGTGGAGAGAACACGACGAGCAGAGCTACCGAAGTCCCATCAGCTATCTATCGCACCCGTTCCGGGTCAAAGCACTCACTATTTAGGACGCTTTGGCCGTAGAATGCGGCCCTCACGCCAAGACCTGCGAGATCGGTGTTCGGACATATCGCTGAGCAACCGTACGCGGAATTCGAAGAACTACACTGCAGTGCTGATAAAGTCCCGTTAGTCAAGATGGAGCACGGCACACTGCAGCGCGACATTGTAAAAGCGTCAAGGATGCATAGAGAGATGACCGGGAGACTTTTGCTGTTGCAGCATATGATATGAGGTATAAATTCGATAGATACATGGGGTACAGCCTCTGTACGCGTACGCGCAATCTGAATTGACTCAGAAGGCTATCGGTGAGTCAAGTTGGATGGGATATGGAGTACCTCCAGACGCAGTCGCCACAGATTGAAGTTTACCAACGTGTAGGTTTAGCGCTGAACTAGCCGCAACGGGCCACGGGGCATCCGCGGTCCACGTAGGGTTGACAGACTGTTGCGCGGTGCACCAGTAGAAAGCAATCGCGTGCGCCGCCCGAGATAGGGATTTGTGCGGATCAACTCCACGTCACGGCAAATTGTGACAGCTAGCTCTGTGCGAGATACAGCACTTGATGCTGGGCAAGGGGCGCTGCGCTGAGATTGGGCTCACAGGCCACGTTGACTGCGTGTAGACATTCCGAATTGAGTCGGAACTTGTCCATCCCGCCGGCCCCGACGTATCCTGCACTTAGACACAATGACAATAGATTGGAACTGACCCGTGTATAGGAAGTTGAGCGCTAGGCTAGGCAGAGGCACTGTATTCATAAGCTGCGCACTGTTCGGTGCCATCCAAGATAGGGATTCGACGTTGAGTATCGACATACACTGGCGCCAGCGCCAGCGCGTGCGGTGTGCGGTGTGCCTTGTGCCTGAACTGGACGGTCAGGCCGGTTTAACTGCCTAGAGAAATCACTACGATGTTTGAAAACCATCCTGTGCACCGAAGGGTGTTTGGCAACGATGAAGTCTGTACTACTCTGAGAGACGAGCGAAGTCACGGACCATATGTGGGCAATCAGCTACCTTCAGAAATGGGCCTGAGAACGGCGGCTGAGAATATTGGGGTGGGTGCAATCAACATGCAAGAAAGCGGGGTCATGGAATTCGATTGCACATCGTGATCGCCACCGTCATATAGGTATCTGCGTTCGCACCGCTCAGAGGACTGTATATCCAGTCAATGAGCCAGTCTCAGGGTTCCTCGGAACATCTCCCAGTGCACGAGAGATATACAAGCAACTGCAACTGTCAGCGATACTTGCACAGGAGACCAGATACTGCACAGTGCTCCGCAGGTGTTATTTTGAAGAAGGCGAGCGATGGTTTCACGTTGTCGACGACGGGGTGTTCGTGATTTAGCCCTTTGCAGCGAATTCGTTCTGCCAATTAAGTATGGGTAAAGGTCAGATTCATCCAAGTGACGAGCGTACAAGATAGTTTGATGCCAAGTAAGAGTGCAGTGCAAGACGCAGCATCGCCATGTTGCAAGACAAATCAATGGATGGATACGCTAGCAGCAAGGACTCATCAGCCCCCAGCAGGAATGCTTCGAGTCACTCAAGTGAACACCTGTGATACCACTCGGGCGGATTAAGCGGCGTCGAGCGAGAGAGAGATGGAATTTTCTCGAGCTGTATCGAGTGCACGTCTAACCTTACGCGTCAATATGTTAAACGTCGTGCAATAAGTTCGAGCTTGCATACCTAACATGCCAGAGCGTCAGACAGCTCCATGCCGTGAGGGCTGAAGCTGAAACTTGAAGCACTGAAGTTGTGCGGCTTTCGTAAACACCGATCCGGACGCTAATCAGATGCTGAGCAGCGCAACACGACAACATAAAGGCATCCATTTGCCATGCAGTGGCAGATAACTATATGGAGCTCGGGATGGTTTAGTTTTGAGCGCGCATGCGTATAAGTACTGTCCAATTGCATCTAACGTTCAGCGGCGTTGCGATGCCAAGCTGGCACTTTGACTCGGACATGGCAAGAGTTGAGCACAGGCCCGGGTGCGGCGAAGGTTCAGTGACATATCAGAGCGCCACGAGCGCTGAGGCACTACAAAAGTGTCTGCTACGCTGAAGACGAAGGTCAACGCATCGTCCTTCCTTCTCCCACTAATCTCAACGTACCAGTTCCTTCGGTCTGCTCGGGGAACTCACTGACGGAGAGTAATCAATGTCGACGACACCGATATCGGTGGGGCTGGTTGCAATACCACGTGGCCACAGCCACATCCGAGCGCGCGTGACCGCACAACGCGTGAGGATCGTTGCCGCACAACCTCCACTCAAGGAAAGTCCGTTCAGCAAGCGCATTCGCAAATTTCAGAAGAGATGGAAGAACATAGAGGCAGATCTTCCTCCTCAGCTTACTCGCAGACACAGTAAATACATGTCACCCCATACTAGCTATCATTGTATCCTCACAGTTTTGTTTACCGCAGTCGGGATGATCTCCGTAGGTTAGTAGAGGGTAGGCTCTGTGTCCAGAATAACTCGAACTCTGTTGTGATTTTGTAGGTGGAGTCATTGGGACAGGATTATTTCTTGGATCTGGAGTAAGTTACCAGTTTTCGGTGCTGTCCGACACGATCTTATACAGCCCACAAAGACCGCTCTCTACCATGGCGGCCCCATCGGCGCTCTCTTGGCCTACGGAATTATCGGGTCAGTAGTATACTGCCTATGTGTTTCCATAGGAGAAATGATAGCTTTCCTGTGAGTGTCCGCATTCATCTGCACTTCTGCGTGATTTGATTGGTTAAACGGTAGTCCAAATGTCGGCGGGGTCGTTGGTCTTGCAGACCTTTACGTCGATCCTGCCCTAGGCTTCTCGCTCGGTTGGGCGGCTTGGGTATGTCGCATAAGTGCCTTAATTTTGCGTCTATCTTATCTCAGCCCCCCTGGTCAGTATAATTGGAGCGTTACCTTGCGTGCGTGGTTCTCTCTGTGATTGCCGTTTTTGTGCTCACAACACTTATATAGCTGCAGAAATTACAGCAGCAGCGGTTCTAGTCAGCTTTTGGGAAACCAAATACATAATGCCGTGAGTACCCTCAACTACCGAAACGGAATCGCGGGACAGACTTCCATTTCAGAGTCCCCGCGATGATAGGGATCTTTGTGAGGACTTTTTTAAAACTCTATACTAGTATGTGGGGCATCTGACTCATTGGGTCGCATATATCGTGCAGCTCGGCCTTGCAATAGGTATTAATTGCTTCTCGTCTCGTGTGTACGGCGAGATGGAGTTCTGGCTTTCAACTTTCAAAGTCCTCACCATCGTTCTCCTCAGTATGTCTCCTATCTCCGTCATGATCGTGATCTCATGTTGTGTCTAGTTTTGGTCAATCTGATCATCGATCTCGGAGCTGGATCCGAAGGGTGAAGGGCGAAAGAAAAAGAGTACAGTTCACGCGACTGATCATGTAGTGCAGGTTCATCGGCCTCAAGAACTGGCAACATCCATTTGCGCCCTCTTATCTCGGAATCACTGGACCCAAAGGCCGATTTCTCGGGTTCTGGTCAGTGCTGATGCAAGCAATGTTCTCGTTCTTTGGCTCAGAAGTGCCGGGAATTGTACGCGTACAAGATTATCATCCGATGTTATCCGTGCATTGAAATTTTCGCAGGCAGCGGGCGAGGTCATCGATGCGACTCGAGTATGTTGACCGGGTGCAATGCTCAGCAGAACACTGACTTGCGTACACTCAGAACGTACCTCGTGCACTACGCCGGGTGTGGATCAGAATGTCAGTCTGCGTCTGAACAATTTGTTCACTACTCACAAATAATGTCGTAGTCTCTTATTTTACGTCGGAGGCATCTTCTGCGTAGGTCTCCTCGTGCCCCAGTCAGACCCGCGATTGCAGGGCGACGAGAATACGACATACTCGTCGCCATTCGTTATCGCCCTCAATCTCGCTGGGGTAAAAGTGGTACATGCTTCGCAATTTGTCGATGTCCTCGTCATATGATAAATATTATTTCAGGTACCACAGGTTGTCAATGCCGCACTTCTGCTATCTGCTTGGTCTGCTGCCTGTTCGGACATCTATATCAGCAGCCGTTTTTTGTTCTTCCTCGCTCGCTGCAAACATGCTCCTAAATTTCTAGCGACACTCATCCGCCACCCATACCATCAGCCAGCGGTGACAGGCGATGAAACTGCTGATTCTTCAGATGAGGAGGAAGACGATGATGACAGGAGCCACACAGATGCAGTGGAACCCCCGCAGATCTCGCCTGCGACTGCGGACAATCCTCAGGAACGGCCACCTTTAGAAAGTCATCTATTACCTGCCAATTCACCTGCTGCTCCTCAGAGGCAACCATTCCTCGTCCTACCTATTGCTGCTGTACTTGTATCATCTTCGATGGGGCTTCTCGGGTTTTTGAGTAGTAGCGGTAGTAGTGCGACTACGGTCTGTCTATCTTCACCAACTTAACAATTGACACTTCGCCGACAATTTTCCAGGCATTCGGATGGCTCACAGCGGTAACCAGCGTTGCATCTCTGCAATCCTGGATTGGTATGCTGTTCACCTACATACGGTGAGAGTTGTCTCTTTCCGCAGAATCAAATATTGACCTTTAGTCCTGTAAGCTGGTACCGCGGGACAGCTTATGCCGAGAGCCGCCATCAGCATCGTGACGATGACGTATCCCGCCATACAATGCAACAGATTGCGGTGATAAAGGAGAATAGACATTCAGGACAACCATACGTTCGTTGCATGTCAGTTTGTCTGATTGTTCACCTACGCAATTTTGACACAGCTTGCCTGGTATGCTTTTATCATATGCCTTTTGGTGCTGTTCACAAATGGGTGGTATGTTTCTGCCGCTGTTTTCTGAGCATTCTCGGTGATGCTAAAAGACATCTACAGGGCTGTCTTTGTGCACAATGGCTGGAAAATCGGTGCGTCACCGGTAGACCTTAGTGATTGATTTGCCTCATAGCTTCTATTTTAGCCGAGATCGAGGGAGACTCACCACCCTCTGGGCCAGCCAGTGACCGAGAGGCTAGTCCCGTCTCGTTGTTCCTTTCATCTTACGTCCCTATAGTATGTCCCCACTCTATCTCAAGTCGGCACGACTGACAAGGTAATGTATTCAGCCGATATTCCTCCTCCTAACATTCGGATACAAGCTCATATATCAAACGGAAATGATTCCGCTCGACAAGATGGTGTTTGACCGGAAGGATGTGCCCAGGATTGAACCCGAGGATCCACCGAGAAATCTTTGGGAGAAGTTAGTTGCGCTGATAATCTAATGAATATGGTGTAGGTACTGTACGAAAGGACTTACTTTTCATGCTGCGTCAGAACTCGCATAGGCTTCAAGTTACTCTCTAATCGCAGTGTTTGCAATGGGGTATCACATCCGATGAGGAGTGCGTATACTACCAGACAACTTTGTGTGGAAAGTACTGTCCCATTACGACCAATCCGGCCAGTCACGCGTCCGAACGGGGTTGGCCTGGCCGGAATCCTAGACATGTCCTATGTCACGGGCGTAGTGGCCGGATGGTACAAATTTGGGTACCCAGACCGTGACTTGGCCCAGAGGCTGGCCGGTCACCCCATGATTCAGTTTTCCCTCCCCAGCGGCTGGCTTGGCCGGCTGCCAAGTTGGTGATTGGGAAGTCGCCCGATCCTGACGTTGACGACGGGGCTCTTCGTGACCTTTTTCATCTGGACATCAAAGTCATGGGTTGCCGTGTGGGATGCTCAGGTCAAGTACGCTACCGCGGGTTCCTCTTCGTATTGTTATGTCTCACACGCTTTCTAGGGATGTCTGGACATGGGATGCAAATCTTCATGTCAGCACCACCGGGCCGATCTCAGAGGAATTGCTCAGCGACTGCACATCTCACGTCCAAGAAATCATATTCTACTCTGTCGACCGGAGCAATCCTGATATCAAGCTCGACTATGAGAGCACTGTACAACAGGGTCAATATGTGGCTAGGTATCCCCGCCAGCCTTTGCCCCGCCAGCCTTTGTCTCCGGCGAGACCGTTCAATGCGGCGTGGAACCCGTGCGTTAGATCTCCGTCGACCCTTCATGGAAGAGCGTGGAACCTGGCTGCGAAGACATACAAGCTGATGGCATCTGCACACTAGGCTTCCGTGTCCCCATGCCTATGAGACTGTTTAGTGGGTATGAGGGCCGAAAATTCCGCGTACACGCAAAAGTCCGGCTGGCATTCACGTCCGAAGACATACCCGAAGTCATTGTGGATTCGGGTGTGATAGCCGTCGGTATTGAGAGTCTGCGCAAGGATAAACGTATGCGGTGAGGAAGTATTGAGAAAGTTCTTGCGCGGAGACGGCGCACGACCGACAGCATGTTTTCACTCGTTGGGTTTTCTATTATGCTGTTATATGAACTCATGTTTCTACATCGTCGGCTGTGCCTTCTCTCACTTCGTCTAGCCTATCGCCACCTTCAACCTTCTCTGAGCTATTTCAATCCTCGAAAGGGCCTCTCCTGCCTCTGATACGTTTGAGGGGTGTAAACCAACCAGGGCTACTACCGTACCAATCAATATCCCGGCGAGCCTCGGCAAATGGTCGCAAAGGCAACCCTCACTGTCAATGCGATGGAGATAGACAGCTCCCGTTATTACTATTGAATAGGTATACACTACGAAGAAGTCCGAATCATTGTCCGAATCGTTGCGACGCCAGACGGTCCATGTCTGACAAGCCAGCACCGTTTAGGCCTCGTACACTACCTGCAGACGAACAGGATAGCAGGTGGTGTAATTATAGATGTTCCCGCTGTCCTCCATCGCCTCGAATATCACATCGTTGGGGAAACCAGTGTAGTACTGCGTGTCGCTCTCGCAAAGCGAGAATTTGTGCGCGACGCCATTCACGGCGAGTATCGGAAACGCAGAGTCGAAGGTGTCCTGGAAATAACTATTGTTCAGCACCTACACACAGAATATCGATAGGCCTATACGACAGTCACCACGATGCAATAGTTTTGAATCGGAGCGGGGAGCTCCGACTCCTCGGTGAAAAAACACAAGGTGGGCTGACTATTAGCGGAGACAGCAAGGTTGTTTGAGTAGACCTGAGGTTCTGACTGGTTACTCGGGATCAGCGAGTCGTCGATGAGTGACAGCAAAGGTATGTCGGTGTAATGACACGAATAGAACGCCTGCACAGTCGTGTCTGCTTGTTAACCTGTGCAACGTCAGCGGTCGATGACGCACCGACAGCATCGAGTAGTGTGCCCCGATGGCACTTCCCGTGTACGCCTTGAACGCGAGTACAAGCGGTGCTCCGGTGGCGTTCGCATTAGGTTTTATGCAGAGGGAGTGAAGTTGGATGCGTTATCGTACCCTCCGACAAAGCCGGCACATGGATCAGAAGTAGCTTGACGGGGATACAAAGGCGATGCTGAGGAGATGGCAGCGATTACCAAGGGCACGAAAGCGAGCAGTAAGAACATCATCGTGCGGACAGTGTAGCGGTAGAATGAAAGATGGGTGGGTAATGAACCTTACCTCGCTGGGCGTCGTTTCATACCCTGACTGCTCATGACACACGGGATGAAGAAATACAATTCTAGTGGGGCTATCAGTATAAAACGGCGAGCCCGAGATATATGAACGTACCTTACAGTGAACATCCCACTCGTATAAAGTGTATACTGTCTAATTAGCAACGGTGCCTACAGTGAGAAGTTAGGTATTTTAGGTTCCGGTTGGTCAATTGCATCGTTGTACCTGAAGGGAGCTATAACTGCAACTTCTAGAGATTTCGAACGCAGACCAGCGCCTATTGAGGAGACGCGTAGTAGTCACGTGCCCCTTCCGGCCGCACGTGACAAGAGGTAGCCCATGGGCACAAATCGAATCGTAGGCTTGGAGGAGTCCTCCACGTTCTCGTAGATCTATCTATTCAACACAATCAAATAATCTTGCTGTACTATTCCTGCGTTTGCAGAGACGATCGCTTGGATTAAGACTTGGATGCCCTGAGCCCAAGCTTGGACTGACTCATAAACACTTTTGTCCTATGTCTGCAGGTCGACTTACTCTTACTCCTTCGCAATATTCCTGTTTGTATTACCATTTATCCCTTCAGGACTGCCACTTACAGAACTCCTCCTAGGTCTAGTTTTTCTCGCACGGATTCTCCAGAGTTAACTATCACATCGACGAAGCACTCGAGGCCATGCCAACTGCTCAGCCGCTCATAGGTTCCGTCCTCGAGCGCAAGCCTGGCCCTTTCTCTGCACCTTCTACGCCCATATCTTCCGGCTCTACTAAGACTGGATTCCCCACAGCACAGCATCGCTCAAAGAGCGCCTTCTCTCGCTCGAGAGAAGAGAAGATTCGGAAAAATGGCTTGGAGAGGCTCCAAGGAGTTCCCATTGTCCAACCGGTAGCCCAGCCTGCTGTGCCTAGCAATAACCAAGGGTCCTCCACGGCAGACAGGGAAAGTTGGCGTCGTCAAGTGGAAGAGGAAAATGAAAGGAGGGTTGAGGCGATGACGGAGGAGGAACGGGAAGAGGAGAGGAGAGAAATCTTGCAGAGATTTGGGCAAAACGTGGGCGACATATTGCAGAAGGCCAAGGAAGCGAGGGTGAAGCAGGCTCCCGCCCTCCGTTCAGTGGATACTGGCGTAGTTAATCCGTCTGTCGCGGGAGAGACTCAGCGACGTATCGCGGAAGGTGTGTATACCCGCTCTTACGCTCATATGGTGCGCTATAACACATCTGCAGCGAAGCCATCGAGACCTTCCACCCCACTCTCTGCTCTTTGTGGTAGCAGTACTCGCCCGTCGAGCAGGGCAGAGCGTAAGCTTCGATTTGCCGACGTGACTCCTAATGATGTGCACGTCTACGAATCTGCCCCTCCCTCACCCCGCAAAAAGGCGCTCGCGTTGCCTCCTCCGAGCGCTGATGACGGTCCCGTGATACACCTTGGTGAGTGGAAAAGTAGACAAAGTCCTACAGTCCATCGCAGAGAGGCGCCTTTCGCGGTCCCTGTAGCCGACCTCGAAGAAGGCACTCCGGAGGACATCCGGCGCAGGTTCTTCCCGGAAGAGCCAGCGAACGACCCTTCACTGGAATGGATCGAGAATACCGCAGCTCCTGCGGAAGCATCTTCGTCGACTCTGCGCTTCGACCTGACAGGTACACCAATTCCGCCATCACTCTCTTCGACTCTACCGACCTACCTCGGTTTGCACCACCATGCCGATTCCCAGCACGCTGGCTACTCGCTCGACGATGTGTTTTTGCTGTCCCGATCTACTGTACCTGGTCAGAGAGCAAGTATGCTGGGTCTCCTGGCGCGCATTGCAAGGAAGTTGGCGAACGGCCTTCGCGGGAATGTAGCTGAGCGGATCGATGAACTCGTGGGTCAAGAGTCTGAGCTACGACAGCGGATCTTGGCTGCTGGCGTCGAGGCTATGGGCGAACGAGGCAGCTTGGGTGCTAGAGCGATAGAGGTGATGTGGGAGTGCATTGTTGGTTGGGACGATGAGATCGCCAGCGTCGAGGGTGTCGAGGTCAACGAGTCGGGGAAATTTGACTCTACAATTTCTGCTCCTGGCCAACCCAGCTCTCCACACGACCCTCTGTCGTCTCTGCCGCTGGACTTCGTACTTTCACAGATTTCAAGTGCCATCGGTACTGCAGAGCTCCCTCCGGAATCCCTATCGCAGCTGCTGGCCATCGTCCACCGCCTCGCCCAACACTCAAACGACATCGCCTCCTCAATTGTCACCACCTCCGGCCTCGTCGCGAACATCGTGCAAACGTTCCTCCTGACCCCAATTCCTCCCACAGATAGCTCTCCCCTTCCTGATCCTGTCGCCCTCCAAGTACTGACCACGCTCGTACTCGCTTCGCGCGAGAATGCGTCCGCCTTACTAGGGCCTGCAGACGCGCTCCTGCGCTTCGTGACAGCGCTCCCACTCGCCTCGCCGTTCTCCCAAGCCCTTGCCACGTCGCTCCTCACGGGGACACTCCGGTTCTACACCGCGCTCGCGTCGTACGGCATGTACTCCCATATAGCCACCACCGCGTCGGACCACCTCGCACAGATCGGCGCGTATGTCCTCTCGGAGGAGTGCCACTCTAAGCATCTCAGGGAGGCGTGGCTCGGGCTGTTGGAAGCGTGGATGGTGTGTGCGCGCGACCCGCATCGGACGACGCCGAGCCACGAGATTTTGTGGAGCCAGGTGGTTGGGTGGGGATGGGGCACTGAGGTGCTGGAGCTCAGGCAGAGGCTGACGGAAAACGACGAGACGCTCTGGGCGGCTCTTTGGCGGGCGGAGGCAGCGTGGTTGGAGGGAGCGAAAGTCAACGCGATCAAAGGCGGAGAGGCAGAGAGGGCGTTCGTGGTCGAAGCTGTCCGCCAGGGTTTCAGTGAGGGAGTTGAACAGAAGATTGCGGAGAGCGCGGGCTGGATGCTGGATACTGCGCTCCGTGCGCTCGCTGCTATCGGGGCGCAGGGGATCGACGTGACGACTCTCCGGGCTGCCTCGGAACATGCGAGTACTCTGGCAGCGGTCGTGAGATTCTGGCTTTCCTGTCTTCCGTCACAGACACAGGGACCACTTAGTGCTCCGCCTTTCATCGTTCCCTTCGCAAGATTATCCGCCCTCTCCGCAATTATCACCACTCATCCCCTTTGGTCTTCGGTCTCGTCAGAGAAATGCCCGTCTTACGCGCGCACGTTCCTCAGGCCCTTCTCTCTTCTGTTGTCATCTTATCTCCAGCTCTCGCCACGAATACCAGGGACGTCCGAGGACTTGTGGCTAGCGCAGGCTTTCGCGATTATTACTCGTTTACTCCCTGGCGACGAGGAGTTTGGGCAGCGCGTTGTGGGCGACATGACGGAATTAATCACTTTGAATTTCATGGAATCTCGAGGATGGAATGTGCCTGCGGTACTTTGGGAGAAAGGAGGCATGAAGCCGATCAGCCATTTTTTGGCGTTCACTTTCTTCCCGCAGGAAGACCTATACGTTGCACCGTTGTGGATATCTTCCCAGTCCATCTCCCTTGCCACCACGCAGCGGCTGCCGGCTGCGTCCAAGTCTGGTCGCGACCGCCTGCTTCCTCTCAGCAGAGACTGGAGCTTCTGTCCGCTGGACCATCTTCTGCGCTCGGGTCAGTCGGAGGCTTTCAAGTCTCTGCCTTCCTCGTGGAATTATTCGGAAACCGAAGTGGTGCGGGCGACTCTGCTCTTCGCGAAGATCAGTCGTGAGATCCTGCGCCTGCACGGTCTGACGAAGTTCCTGCCGAGCCGAGAGGAAATGATCTTTGCGGGCATGAAGGTCTTCATGCTGGAGCACGAACAGCAGCAGAACGACACCGCCGAGGAAGTGTTCCGCGACAGGATCGTCGAACAGCTCCTCGACGATCTCTTTGCGCCGTTCGCCGCGGGCACCTCGCCGACGTCCCTCCTCCTCCCGCCCCCGCCGCAGGAAACGCAAGACAGCCTGGAAGCGGTGGCGTCGCGCTTCCTCGGGCCGTCGACGCCGTTTTACCAGTACTACACGGACTTCGTCGCCCTGTACGACGCCATCTCGTTCTCGCACCCGCTGTTTGCGCGCCTGCTCCTGCCGCCGCTCTCGATGCGCTTCCCGTCGGACTTCAGAAAGTACCTCTGGGCTGACTACGGGCACGTCGTGAAGACGATCCGCACGCCCGTGGAGGCGGTGCTCACTGGCTGCGTCGGCGAGTACCTCTGGCCGGTCGAGGAGGACGCGCACGTGCTTGGTGCGTACCTGCGCGCGCTTGTGCAGGCGCCGCTGGAGGGCTTTGTGCGCTTGGTGGCGATCCACCATATCGCGTGCAATATCTGGCCGGATCTGCGCTCTGCGCCGGAGGAGCAGGCGAGCAAGCTGTTAAGGGCCGTCGTGGACCAGGACGGTCTCGATGTTGTACGAGAGGTAGTGCTGTATCGACAGCAGGTCAGCGTGGGCACGCTCCTTCTTCCCCCTGCTTGTTTTGCGCAGGCTGGGGAGTGGAAGGCGTTGCGGTTGGAGTTTGTTGAACGGTGTGGGGGCGAGCAGCTCAGAGAGCGGTTGAAGAATTTGCTGGAATAATCTGTGTTGTATCTATTCTGCTGGTCTCGTCGTTGTATCCATATTTTTCGTAGTCTACCGTCCTCGTAAGATAGATCTTTGAGAGTGTTCGCTAGCTGCCGTAAAAATAACGCTTTGCTCTTATAGATGGAATCCAGATAAGATCTGAGTTTATGGCTGCGGCTTTCTCCGAGTCCCACGGGCACGGGACCGTGATGCGTCGCGTCTCCGCGCGTTCCCTAGTGTGCAGGTACCTACCCTTGCGCCGTTAGTTGACAGTAATTGATCAAGACGATTGATTGCAAGGCTGAGGTGAGAAATAAATCCTGTCATTTTTACAGGTCTCTATGGCAATGTGAAGCTCGTTCACCACATGACAACTTCCGAGGAAACATGAAACGTCTCGTTCAGCACTTGTCAGTACGGCCAATCCATCCGATCCAAGGTCACTCATTCCACCGATATACTTTCAAATGCAAATGGAATTTCCAAAAACATATGCCTGAACTCCAGACCACTCACAAGGGGCCATTGATAGTTCTTTCTGTATTAAAAAAAGCTGTAAACACGAGCATAAACGGACTGACCGATATCGACAAAATGCTCATAAACATCAGGTGTGGCGGTGATGCAGCACAGCCGCACCACTACGTAATCCTGAGATTAAATTATAGGTACGTCGTTGGGCCCAGTGCCTCTCGCCCGGTGCTCGTGCACAAGCTTCGCAACAGTCTTCAGTATGCGCTGATGCATAGTCACGCTGTCGTTTGGTCGATTCTGTGATTCTCAGAAAAACACGTATTCTCCTGGAATTCATTCACTACCGCCTCCGGTGAGGGAATCGCGAGCCGTAAAAGAAAGTTCCTGTTTGACTGGACTTATATCAGATGTATACACGGCTGAGAGAAAGCATACAACCTAAGCTCGTGGAATGACGTGCTCACTGATATGTAACTACCATTCCTCCACTCGGGACCTTCACGATGTACTTGAATGCTGTACAGATATACGCACTGCTAAGGCCTATCTTTAGAATGTTATTAATCTACGATAAGTGCGCGGAATTAGAGCTTGTGTCACAGTTTTTTGAAGAGTATCACAGAATTTATCCATACCAGACGCCAGCATGATAGCGCATCCGTGCACCATCTGGACTCTTCAGGAGAAGGTGCCATTTGATGCACGGAGGCGTCATCGGACTCGCAGGCCGCACCAAGGGGTCCGATGGGCGTTACGTGACGAAACTTCGGACAACGCGGCGCAAACTTGAAGCCTGATAACAGCTAGGTAGTAGTGAAAGATTGCATCTATGTCACCCCAAACTATAGTGCGCCTCAATAGAATCATTCGCAGAGAGACAGACGCCACCGTCATACTTGAATACCAGGCGCAGCTCGCTGTGGCAGATGTTGCGACAGCGGACGACCTTGAAGGACCAAAAAATGGCCGGAGACGAACGCAGATCTGTTCATGTATCAGACATAGACTTGCGTAGATTACTACTCCTTCGATATCCAGTGGCTGTCGTGGCTGTAGTTTCCAAGATCTACGAAGGATAGCATAGCTGTATATCCACCAGCCAAGACCTAGTGATGCTGTCGCTCAGAGGCGCAGCGGCGGGTAGAAAGAAGGAATAAAGTGATTCTGATCATCTTATCATCCAATACAGACACGTCATAAAACACGTCGAGTACATCGTACAGAGCCAAGGACGACACAACCGTAGGGGATCGGCTCCATGCTGCGGCTATGTGAGAGATGTAACGATGAGCGACGAATGAGACCCAGATGTCAGTGGATGTCGTCTACACGGAGATTTGCATGGGAGACGGTCGAAGGACATGTCGTCTACAGGAAGATTTGCCTGGGCGACACAGTCGGAAGACCAAAATTGGAATGACGCTGGCTGCCTGGCGTCGAGTAGACAGAGGCAAGATATAAGCTGCATGGCCGTAGCGCAGGCCGGACACAGACTACGCAGACCGAAACGAGAGGACGACTAGGACAACGAAGACAACGAAGACGTGGAAGAGAAGAGAGATGCTAATAAGAACTTCGGCTGGCGGATGAATCCAGCTGATCTCGTGTAGAGGATTAGAGAAGTCGAGGCGTCGGGATTAGCCGAGGCGTTGAATATGCGCTCAACCGTGTTAGATGAGTTTTTCGTCTTTACTTTACTCGCTGAAAACTTAAGGACCACCAAAGGCCGCAAAAGCTTTATATCTCGGGATGCCCAACGCTCGAGCAGAAACATTGCATCATATAAACAGTATATATCCGTCGTACTGTCTTCCACCAGATACACAACGTAATGTCTTACCTGCAGTCAGTCACGAAATGGATCTACTTTCCTTACTTTCAAAGGCAACGTGATTTGGTCAGGTACCGGAAATCGAATACTGAGCATGAGAGACTACGGTCTCTAAAATATCATTTGCGCGGCCAGCTTTGGCTACGAGAGACATGCCGATAACAAGAGACAATAACAAGACTGATACAGAAACACGAGACAAATACAGGTACATGGTATAAAGAACGCAGCGGCGTAAAAACGTTCCCAACTGCAATACACGACTCGGAGACTCCTGCGTTCCCAAGATGAGCTTCAAGGGTCGGCGAGTTATGCGCCTCCATCGGTGAGGCGCATTCGAGGAAAAGCCTTGGCGCCGGTCGCAAATGACACGAGTTACGCGTTACGACGTGCACCACCTGGAACAGACGAGGCGACGGCGTACACCGCAAACACTTGTACTGCACTGTTTTACAGCTAACTTGATCCGCGTCCACAGAATGTAGCCCAGCCAGTCGACGATGTGCCGATGCTGTGAGTTGACTGCGCGTCAAGTACCTAGAAATGTGGGGATCGCTATTGGTAGGAAGAGTTTGAAAGCGTCGTAGGACGACAGTGCCTTGCCGCGGTCTATCCCGCCGCCCTCTTCAGGCGTTTCACTGGCCTGCCGTTCGCTGGTACGCCGTTCGTCTGTCCGTCGTCCGTCGGTCGCCAGTCCGCCCTCGGCGTTGCGGCGCCTTCCGCTTGTTGGGATGGATCCTGGGACGGTGAGAGATTGCCTTCACTGCAGACTTTGGCCTCATCAACGAACTATCCTGCTTGCAAATCCGTTATCCTCTGGCAGTTTATGCCCTAAGAACTCCTTCCAGTAATCGTTCCACGGCTCTGGAGTGTCTCACTGCGTCGCCTCACTGGGACGCCGCGGGTGATTCAGGTCCATCGAGTGCGACAGCCAGTCCTTGAGATCCACGTTGAAGTTCGGGGGGTCGATGTACGTCTGGTTCTCCTTGTTGTCCAGCTTACCTTTTCCCGGCTCCATCATCTGCAATGTCGTGTGCGTTACCTCAGGTACGTCCCCGCGTGGACCTCCTGGAGGCTATGGAACGAACAGCTTGCCTCGTGTCCTTAGAATGCGCAGGATGCTGAAGCCAGTGGAGGCCACAGTACGCGACGACATACAGGAGTGCCTCCATGTCGTCCTGTAACATCTGCCTCCGCCGGCTTTGCGCCTCGAGACGCTGCGACAGGAACATGCGCGTGCCCTGTCGGGATGGATTTAGCAATCACGGACGGCGGGAAGTGAAGGCGATGCGTACCACAATGTACTTGTCCGTCGCCTGCTCATCCTCCTGAACCTTGGACGAGTCGATCAGGTAGCCTGTCTAATGGTCTTGGTATGGCTTCCGATAAAGCATGATATTACCGGCGCTGATGTCCCGATGGATCCTCCGTGCCTTGTCGTGCACCGCGACCAGCGCTAGGGCACAAGAGAAATCGGTATCAGCCCACAGAAAGCGCTTACCTTGGAACGCATCATGCATCGCGTTGAGCAGCTCCTTTGTTCCTCGCATCGTCTGAAGCGGGAAGCCTACTTTCTTGAGGTTAAGATGGTGGTGGACCCGTGGGTGCACCACAATCCGAGGGCCGCCGTAATATAGCCATTTGGCCTTCTATTTTATGCATCGATAATTAATAAGTCCGCTACCGACTTGCCTAGGTCGGCTACATCCTGAGGATGTAGCTGACCTGGGCAAGGCGGTGGAGGAGTATAAGTCCATCTTGGTGCACTGGAATGCTGAATGATGAGACAGATGAGTTGGACATCGATGTAGCCGACCTGGGCAAGGCGGTGGAGTATAAGTCCATCTCGGTGCACTGGAATGCTGAATGATGAGACAGATGAGTTCGAGCTCAGAGTCAATGGAGATGAATAGATACTCACAAGGCTGTTGGCCTGTCTTGCTCCGAGTCGTCCTCTCGAAGTTCGCCATGGCCGAGAACCGCGTGAGCATGCGGTCGGAGTACACCACCTTCGGAACATCTCCGCCGTGTTCCACATGCGGGATGTTCTTCACCCTGTGGGCCGCCAGCTCCTTCAGTATTCGGCCTTCGGGCTCGTGCACGTACTGCCACCAGGTATCCTCCAAGAAAACCACCCTACTGCCCATCACCGCCCAGTATCCGCGCATCCCACCCCTCCTCATTGAGAAGTTCGTAGTGATCGGCCTCGACACGAAGCAACACTTGAACCTCCCGTCCTCCGCACAGATGGTCAGTGCCGCCGGCCTCGTAATGCTGCACCACGGTCTATTCAAGCAGTGCACACCACGCCTTGTACTCCTCCCGCACCTCATCCTCTGCCGGAACTTCCACTGGCTTCAGGTCTAGCTGTTCCCGGACGCGGCAAGAAACCAGCTGCCGGAACAGACACTCCTCGCCGCTCGATGCCCGCTCCACCGTCGGGTTGTATCCGCGCTCGACCGAGGACGCGTGCGCAAATCTCCACAAGAACTCGCACAGTGCCTCGGGCTTCTCCCGTGGGCAGCACGACTCCGACGCGACCAGTGCCATCGGAGTACACCACCTTCGGAACATCTCCGTCGTGTTCCACATGCGGGATGTTCTTCACCCTGTGGGCCGCCAGCTCCTTCAGGATTCGGCCTTCGGGCTCATGGACGTACTGCCGCCAGGTATCCTCCATGAAAACCACCCTGCCGCCCATCACCGCCCGGTACCCGCGCATCACACCCCACCTCATCGAGAAGTTCGTAGCGATCGGCCTCGACACGAGACACCGCTTGAGCCTCCCATCCTCCGCACAGATGGTCAGTGCCACCGGCCTCGGAATGCTGCACCACGGCCTTTCCAAGAAGTGCACACCGCGCCTTGTACTCCTCCCGCCCCTCCTCATTGAGAAGTTCGTAGCGATCGGCCTCGACACGAGGCCACACTCAAACCTCCCTTCCTCCGCACAGATGGTCAGTGCCGGAGGCCTTGTAATGCTGCGCCACGGTCTATTCGAGCAGTGCACACCGCGCCTTGTACTCCTCCCGCACCTCATCCTTGACCTTCTCTTCCGGAACTTCCACCGGCTTCAGGTCTAGCTGTTCCCGGACGCGGCAAGAAACCAGCTGCCGGAACAAACACTCCTCGCCGCTCGACGCCCGCTCCACCGTCGGGTCGTATCCGCGCTCGACCGTGGACGCGTGCGCAAACCTCTACGAGAACTCGCACAGCACCTCGGGCTTCTCGACGACTCCGACGCGACCAGCCCGCTCATGTCCCAGCGCATCAGGCGCGCACGCAGCCCGTGGATGGGCACTTGAGAAGTGGTGCACCCGACGTTGGTGCAGCGGTGCATCGGCAGCATCCCAATAACATAGTAAGACACGGAAACATGGATGTTATTTCCGATACGTCGTGTGCGCTCTCGAAGTGGCAGTCTGCTAGATATAGCGTCGAGGCAGCCGCGAAGTTCGCATGGGAACATGGAAATTAATTCGTCCACCTTTTGCAGATCGTCGAAGAGGCAGTCTGCTAGATATAGCGTCATCAGATCCCGACGTTCTTCCACCAACTTGCACAGGGCAGCTCTAGTTATCGGGTCGGATGACGAAGCAGCCGCGAAATACGCGGGGGAACTGTTCATCGACGGGCAGGGCAGCGGCCAGGGACTTCTTCCGCGACCTGAAGCCGTTGCGCGGGCGACACAAGTTCGTCCTGTCGCAGCCTGACGCGGAGAAGGCGAACCGGGTGAAGGCGCGGCAGGTGATGGGGCGGAGCATCCGCCGACCAGAGCGGGCTTGGTCAATGTCAAGTCCGGGGCATTGTGTTTGAACTTGAACCCTGGGCAACAGTCGTGATCCCTGATGGCCGCGAACTGTGGCCACAGCGCATGTCAGCATCAACCACGGCCACACTGGCGAACAGAGCCTTATCACTCACCAGTCGAGAAGGCTCGTCGACGTCGTCGAACGCTCCCTGCGTCGGTGGCCTGCGCGCCGTGTGCTTCGCAGGGAGGGAGTCGAGGAATACCTCGACGGGCATGGGCCCGAGGATGAACCCCTCTGCTCTGTCCGCGTGGGGTTCGTTGTCGTCGTCGGAACGACGCAGATTCTCGGGCTTGGCGTTCTCTTCGCCCACCAAGGGCGTCCAGTCGGAGGTGAGGCTGTGCGGAGTGGGTGGCGAGGAGACGTCGGCGTGTAAGGTTGGCGCGCTGGGAGCGCGAGATCTGGGGCTGGACATCGTCGATGTTGTTGATAGACGAGTAAATGGTTGTAGTAGTGATGGTGGTGGTGGTAGTGGAAGAAGGAGAAATTGAGCAGATACAGCCACTTGCCTGCGCGCTTTTAACCGTTTCGTGTGGCACACGTCACGTGATAGCATTTGTGCACAGCTAACGCGGTGTACGAACCACCCTGATACACAGCCAACACAGCCACGGGTCTCTAGCTGGTAAAGTGAGAATAGACGGTTTCAGCATGTCCAAGGGGCCATTCACCTCTACGCCACAAAAGGGTAGCCCGATCACGTCGGTTTGAGAAATGTCCAAGGTCCCGACGAGCAGCCAACGTACCATGACCGGGGTACAGACTAGTAGTCGACAAGTCGCGAGAACGCGCCTTCGTACACATTTTCTGTTGCAACGGGAGACCACCCGCTGGATTCTACGAGAGTAGACGTTGGCCAAGGAACTACAGACGAGTGAACGTCTTCGAGAAGCGAGCTGATCGAGAACAACGACATTCTCCCGCCACTGCAGTACTGTAGGCCGCGCCAGGATCAGAAGTCTGACGTGGGTCAGCAGTACGGTAGCCGCTGCAGGCAATGGTGTCATGGGCGAAGCAGGGAGTCCAGTTGTTGACCTACATTTTGCAAAAAAAAAGTCCCATGGAATGTGTCTGCGCCGCGCGGTCTCGTAGGGAATCTGACTGTAATAGTCCGCAAAGAACACGTTGTTACAAGCGTTAGCCTGAAACCGAGTAAGTACATCACCGCTGGCCAGATGAAAGAGCGCACATATTTTTTGCCAACACGAGGAGTAAAACCAAACCAGGGGACAAGTAAATTACCATACCATTGTACGTTCGGGTAGCTCAAAATTTGAGGATATCAACGCGAGCGGTCATATTTGCAGGCAATTTAGAGTGTCTCTAGATCAGAAGATCTCTCAGACGGGCGGAAAAAAATAATGTGCCTTGCGACGGACCTCGCCTGACAACTCCTTATTTGGGACTTGTAACCGCCTTGTAAGGGACAAAAATGGTGCCAAAATTACCCCAAATGCCCTAATTTTTTCGTTTCTATTGTATAGTCAAAATCCGTCGCAACTGCCTTATTAGACACGAAAGGTTTTTCCGACATTATTGCTCCTCGCGCACGAAGCTTGATCAGAACCGAAGGCGAAACTCGTACTCAAATCCACCTCTCGAGCTCCAGACTCTTCGTGGAAAACACATACCAAAAAGCGCCTCATTTCGCAGGTCAGCGCCACTGATCCCCAGAAATCCTCCGAGGGGGTTTCGCACCATGGCGCTCCGTCTATCCGCAAACCATCTCCACCCCTCAGAGTCCGGGTCAGAGTCAGACGGGCACTCCAGCTCGTCGCAGGAAGAAGATGAAGACCTCACCTGGGAGGACTGGGTGTCCGACTCGGTGGACAACCGCCCGTGCAGGTCGCTCTTCGACCAGGACAAGACGTTCACGACCGTCGCGGAGGCGCTCAATCACGACAGGCTGGTGTACGGGGTCGATGTGGAGGATATCACTGCCCGGCTATGTGCGTGCTTGTTCGTCCCCGCTCGTGCGGGATCGTGTTTTTGACCCCTGTCCGTTGCAGTCCTCGATTCGTACCAGCGAATACGCCTGATCAATTGGATACGAAAGGAGGTGCGTCGACGCGGTTCTCTGCGTTTTATGTCGTGCTTATGTGGAGGGAACGCAGAAACCCGCGCCGGCAGAGGTAGTTGCGCTGCGGGGCGATGAACCCTTCTTGTGTTCTGATGAGTATCTCATTCCAGCACTCGAGGACGATCCGCTCCTTCGTAAGTAGATCACCCTCTTGTCAGAATTCCTACTAATAGCGATACATTGCAGAAGTCCAGTCAGGACACTGGTCAGAGGAAGAGTGGGAAGAGGACGTCGAGGCAGTCGGTCCGCCTACAGATCTGGCCGGCGCGTTACGCAGAATCGCAGCGCTGGAGAAGAAGCTGCAGCAAGCGAGACAGGACTTGTCGGACTACCGCGAATTCGTGGGCCAACGTCTCAACCTCGCCGGTATGTCGGAGGCCCTGAAAGAGCCCGCGGCGTCCTCGAGCACGCGCCTCGCGGTTCCCTTGCGCGACGACGACTCGCACTACTTCCAGAGCTACGCCGAGAATGGTGAGGTGGGCGTCTTTTGAGATCTGTATGCCGTTAGTGACGGACGCGGAGCAGATATACACGCCGTGATGATCCAGGACAAGGTGCGCACGGCGACGTACGCGAAATTCATCCAGTCCAGCCCGGAGCTCTTCAAAGATGCGGTCGTCCTGGACGTCGGGTGCGGCTCGGGTATACTGTCGCTCTTCGCCGCGCGAGCCGGGGCAAAACGCGTGATTTCTGTCGAGGCATCTCACATAGCGGAGAAAGCGGAGCGGATCGTGAAGGACAACGGTCTGGAAGATACGATCACGTACGTGTCGCAGAGATTTCCGTCCGATTCTCCATGCTGAGCGGACCTGCGCAGTGTCGTTCAAGCGAAGGTGGAGGACATCACTCTTCCGGATGGGATCGAGCAGGTGGACGTCATCATCTCGGAGTGGATGGGCTACGCACTCCTGTACGAGTCGATGCTGGACTCGGTCTTGCGTGCGCGGGACCGCTTCTTGCGCCCTGGGGGTGTCATGGCGCCGAGCCAATGTAAGATGATGTTTGCTCTGTGCGAGGCTGGCGAGATATTCAAAGAGCGTGTAGGATTCTGGAGCGATGTATACGGTGCGTCCTCCCGCACACGAAATCCTCCGACTACATTAATCGCTGTGCAGGCTTTGACTTGTCCGCCATGGGCCGGGACGTCTACGAGGACGCCATCGTCGATATCGTAGGACCAGAGACGATCTACAGCGAGGCGTACACCATCAAGGTGAGCCTTCTCTACACTTTTACACCCTCGCGAACCCCGTCTCACCGGAGCGGCCCCTCAGGACCTCTACCTCGGAGACGTCATCTCGAGACAGCTCGACTTCTCGACGCCGTTCACGCTGGTCTCGACGGCGGAGCGGCGCACGAAGATCCACGCGTTCGTGCTGTACTTTGACGTGTTCTTCACCGCCACGGGCGAGCCGATCCCGCCGGACACGGACGTGTACCTCGCGCGCGAGGGCGACCCACTCCTCGCGGAGGTGTGGCCGCTCGGCGGGCGGGCGCACACCGCGCGGCGCCTCAGCATGGGCGAGCCGCTCAAGGGCAAGGGCCGCCCGAAGGTCACGAGCTTCAGCACGGGCCCGGCGTCGGTGTCGACGCACTGGAAGCAGACGCTGTTTTTGCTCCGGGAGCCTATGACCGTCAGCGAAGGTGAGCCTTGTCACAGCGCGCTTTCGGGATCGGGGCTGTGGGGTTGATCGTTTGGTTGCAGGGACGACGGTGCAGGGGACGTTCAAGTGCCGGAAGAGCGCGACGAATAGCCGGGAGCTGGATGTCGAGATTCATTATGTTGTCCAGGAGCCGTCCGAGGCTGCTGCGGTTGGCGATGCGGTGGTGCAGATGTTCAAGGTGCGGTAGTATGCCCTGGGGAGGCGGTGGAACCGAAGTGACCTTGAGATTTTTCTCGATATTGTGCTGACGTTGATATACTTACGGCACAGCTGGGCTCTAGTATAGATTCAGTTCTAGTTGTTTCCGATGAGCTACTCACTGCGAGAGATATTCGTGGATTGCGAGCGATCGACGTCGAACCCTCCCGTCCGCCGAAGTATGTGGATGGTTCCGAGCCACGGCCATAATGTGCTTACTGCAGAGGTGGTGGTGTATCCACTCCGCGATATTGACGAGAAAAACGGTATCACATGAGGCGGGGGGTAGTAGTATATACTATACCGTGCCGCGAGCCATTCGGCGCTACGACCACGCTTGCAGATCGCCCTCTCCGCATTCCACCACGTCGTCCTTCCAGCTCTCCAATCTGTTCGACGTCTCTGGCAAGGTCGTGCAGCTGGTCACCGGTGGCAGCCGGGGGATCGGCAAAATGGTGCAGTTGCCCGCCTTCATATCCTGACCACGCACGGTGCTTCTGCTGACTGGCGGCGGGCAGATCGCGACGGGCTTCGTGTGCAATGGTGCCAGGGTACGTCCCCGCAGAGCTTTGGCGGTTTAAGACTGGGGGGGGGCTGAAGCGCTGAAGGTGCAGGGTCGCGAAGGTGTACGTATCGGCGCGCTCTGCGCAAGACCGCGACGGAGCTCGACGCGCTGGGCCCGGGGAGGTGCGTCGCCCTCCCCGCGGACCTGCAGGAGCTCGAAGAGGTCGAGCGGCTCGTGCGCGCGCGAAGAGGTGCTGCACGTCCTCGTGAACAACGGGGCTCGACGATGGACGCGTACCCGGTGGGTTGCTTTGCTCTCTCGCCGGGAGCGGGGCGGAGTCTGATGGCTGGACGCTGGACGCTGGACGTTTGGCGCACGACGCGGCGTTCACGGAGCTGCTCACGCTCAACACGCAGCGGGTGTTCACGCTCACGCAGACGTGTCTTCCCCTCCTCCGCCCTGCGCGCGGCCGCCGTGTTCAAGCACCCGGCGCGGATTTATCAACGTGGGTGCGCAAAACACGCTCGGCGCCGCTTTTTTCTGATTCAGCTCGTGTGCGTTGGGTCCGTCAACGGACTGTGGGTCACCAGGCTGGAGACGTACGCGTACTCCGCGCTGCACCACCCGAGCTGGCACTTCGCCGGTCGCGGCTCGGGCTGGGGAGGGCATCACGCGCAACACCATCGCGTGCGCTCAGCCCTTCCTTGCGTCCCGTCTTCGCATCCCGCTGCTGCTCGTCCCCCTTCGTTCAGGCGCGTTCGAGAGCAAGAGTGAGTCCGAGCCGTCAAGACCTCCTCTATATTGTGCGCTCTCGTCTCACGCGGCTTCTCGTTTTGGCAGTGATGGCGCACACGCCGGCGAGCTGATCAAGCGCTCCACGCCCCTCCAGCGCATCGGCGCGCCCGAGGACGTCGCGGGCGCCGCGCTGTTCCTCGCCAGCCGCGCTGGACGGCGGGTCGCCGGTCGCGATGCGGGACATGCGGGCGATCTACGCGCCCCCAAGCTTCAGGCTCCGGCGCGGGGGGCGACGTCCCCCATCTACGGGTGTGTATAGGATACAGTATGTATAAGGTGCAACACGCAGCGGTCTAAATAAACGAAGGCATGCCGGTGCCCGCAAAACGTCGTGCGCGAAGCTCAGACCATCCGCGCGGCGGGGTCCTTCTCGCGCCCAACCTCCTCGACGCCGTCGTCCGCCACCTCCTCCGGGACCCCCTCGACGCTCCCGCGGGGGCTCCCCTTCTCGCGCTCCTCCCCGTCCGCACCCGCCCCTTCCTCCTCCTCCGCGCGGCGCGCGAGCATGCGCTTGCGCACCTCGAAGCCGCCCGCGTACCCGAACCACGTGTGCCGCGGGACGTGCGGGCCCCGGAGGAGCATCACGACGAGCATGAGGCCCGTCCAGCCGAGCGAGAGCGCGGCGGCGGGGCGCCATCCATACTCGTTGAACACGCGCGTGCCGACCGACGTGCCCATCACCATCCCCAGAAAAAACTGCCCTTAGCTCATCAGCGCGTACAGACAAAAACCGAACGGGGGCTCACGGCGATGATGAGGACGGCGTTGAGCCGCGAGCGCGCGTTGGGGTCGAGCCCGAACACGGCGCTCGTGAGCGCGACCTGGTTCATCTGGCGGAAGACGTCGATCCCGAAGCAGACGAGGACGACCGCGGCGATGTGCACGCCGTCCGCGCCGACGGCGAGCGCCTGGAAGACGAGCAAAGCGAGCACCGCGACGAAGGCGGCGAACCACGGGATGAGCCCGTCGATGAGCCGCCCGATCACGGGCGCCATCGCTACGCCGAACATGCCCACCAGCCCGAAGAGCCCGATCACGAGCCTGCCCGGGGGGCGGTGGTCAGGTAAGGCGGAGCGCGGCACTGAGGTGGGGGACGTACGTGGAGTAGTGGTAGGGGGGCCCGCCGAGCAGGAATGTCAGCGTGACCTGACGGGGGCACACGGCACGCATGAGCGAGCGGCCGCAGTAAACACAGCCGCAAAAACGCGACGCACCCAGAAATTGCTGAAGCACGCGCTCGCGAGGAAGTTGCAGAGCGTGGCCTGCACGAGCAGCGGCTCGGTGGCGAGGAACCTGAGCAGGCTGGCGAGGATCCCGAGGTAGGTCGCGCCCTTGTTGCGCGCGGGGTAGTCCGGGAGGACGCCGTAGAGGAGGAGGAGCACGGCGAACTGCACGGCGATGGCGAGGTAGTACACGACGCGCCAGGGGGCGTACTGGCCGATGATGCCCGCGAGGACGCGCGCGAGGAGCACGCCGAAGAGCAGGCCGGCGAGCACGATCGAGAGCGCGGACGCGCGCCGCGCGGGCGGGGCGAGGTCGGCCGCGAGCGGCATCAGGACCTGCGGGGCGACGCTCGCCATGCCGACGAAGAAGCTGAGCACCTCGAACGCGACGAGGCTGTTGGTGACCGCGAGCCCGATCGTGAGGGAGCCGCTGATGAAGATGAGCAGCAGCAGCATCGGGCGCCGCCGCACGATGTCGCCGAGGATGGAGATGGTGAGCATGGAGACGGCGTAGCTGTGCGAGCGTGAGTGTGGTGAATTGGGGTGGTCGGAATATATATGCTCACCCTGCTTGGATCAGAGTCGGGATTTGCGAGACCTCGTCGTAGGTGACATTGAACGAGTGCGAGAGCTGGACTGAAGGCCGTCGGGTCAGGTGGGCCGTTAAATGGCTTGTCAACGCTGACGGCGGACTCGCCGCCAGCTACGACGCAGCATACGTGCGCACGTATTCGAGTCATGGCTGGGCGAGACCGCCGACATCGGTGAACAGGCTGCGTTGGAGTAAAAGGACGTACTGAGGATGGGCTGGCACCACCAGATGTTCGCAACGACTGCAGACGATCAGCATGCACGCAACTCGCATATACTGTGGAGACTCACGGAAGGTGCTCGCGAGGCCAAAGGTCGCGTTCAAGAGGAGCCCGAAATGGGCAGGGTGCTCGGGATCGTGGCGCAAGTGGCGGGGGATGGGCAGAAACCCGAAATCTTTCGTGATCTGCACATAAGAGCTCTCGGCCGGTGAGCTGGACGGGAGGGCTTGGACCGTGGACGTGGGTGAAGCGGCCGTTGGCGAGACGGCGTTCTCCGCTGCAGGTTCCTGTGCAGCGGTGGATTCGGACGACATGGCAGGACGTCTGAACAAACCTCTGGGGCCAAGCAGGCTTCCCGCTGCCACCCGCTATATGAGAACGCATGCCGATATCGGCCAACTCCTGCACGCTCCACTTATTTTTTCGACGTGAGCTCGGTCAGCAGCAGTCGTGTTGATCAAGAAGGACGCGGAAAACGGCAGTTGGACGCACGCACGGACCTCCGAGTGGGAACACCCTGTGCCGCGATGCCGGCCCAGGTTTTTTCCGTTGTCTCTTTGCGACATCTGCTATCGCCGAGTACTTGCAAGGTGCAGAATGGACTGTGGCGCGCGTTCGGCATAGCATATATCCCGTCCGCCGCGCTCCATTTTGAGCAACCGTAGTAATCGGGACCGCGATCGATCTCGAGACCGGGTATGCACACCACTGGCGCGTAACGGGGGGACCGGCCCGCGCGTGGGTATTAGCTTGAATCTGAACTACCGACTGCCAGTGAACTCCACCTTGGCTTCAGGATGGCCAGTGGTGCTTCACATTCTCATTCTAGCCTCCCTCCTGCCCCCGTTACGCCTCCTAAAACTGCAGCTCCCACCGCTACGGTGAAAAGTACACCTGGGCAAGGGACGGGCTCTGCCTCCACTGCGGTCAGCGAGAGCCCGGCCTCACTAACGTATGTCTTATTGACTGCATTCATATCAACATGCTCGCCAGGCATCTCTGAATCGATTCCATCTCGGGCAGTGTGGGTGCAGTTTCATACTGGATTGGATCCGATATCCAGCTTCATGCGCAGTGTGACTTCCGCATATTACTCAAAGTCCTGCTACGCTCAGATGTGCAGGCGATTCCTCACCTAACGATGACGAGCTTTTGCATGAATGTCTCAAAGCGGTGATGAAGGTTTGCAATGACTCACCACCATACCAGAGCAAGGTCAGGAGGCTGCTCGCAGAGTAGTGAGCATCTCGTCCATGGGTCTGCACTGCCGTGCCGTGCCGCTGACCGTGTTTGTGCAGCGCGAAACCCTGCACTCGTGCGGAGGATTACTATGCTCCCTTCGTGAATACCTTCAATCACGCTTTGGAGGAGATGAAGGAGTGCTCGCTCCCATTGTTACGCGAGATCGACAAGAACGAGGATCTGGATATCATGTTTCATAGAAATGACCCCAAGGCGCTCACCGGGATACATGGTGGCCTCAAGACCTTGCGCCGTCCGGACGTCGTGTTGGTCGCACACGGGTCTGCTTTCCGGGCGGCCGGGGACTCCGCACGTGTCCCCGGCATGCACTGAGATGATTTGGCATTCGAGGTCGCGCTGGAAAACCCATACGAGAGTTTTCACTGGGCAGATTGTCTTTCATGCCAAGAATTTAAACGTCATCACAAGGATCCATCGGGTGCACTTCCGCACGAGTACACCGATACGTTCACGTCAAGCGTCACACCTCTCTCCAATTTGGATCGAGAATGCCCTAATGAGGATGGGGTGTGGCGAAAGGATTTTGCCGTGGTTGGGCCGAGCTCATCGTCATCTCGGCATCTTAATTCGCCAAGGAAGTACACTGGTACTGCGTCGAGTGTGCCAAGGAAGTACACCGGTACTGCGTCGACGGACTCTCCCAACGCATCGCGTGCATTCATGGCCATGCGCGTCATCATGTTACTCATAGTGTTATCCAGCACGGAGATCCCCTAGGAACCACGGCACAGACCCAGCACCGGAATCCACTACCAAACGTCAATCTCCCGATCAATCGGGTGGCAGCATGTCTACGAAGCCCAAAGTGGAGGGCGAGAAGGAGCATCCTCCTATCGTCCAGTGTGGTATCTATGGCGCAGAAATGCTGACGCGCGGCCCCTACGCCACTCACGCGATCAACCTCTCGATTATCGGCAAGTCTCTCCGCCCATGCCGTCCGCCGCCATCGCTAACACGAGTGGTGTGCAGATAACTGTGTGTGGGTTTGGTGGTATGACCGACAGGGCGCAATCCAGTCCAGCGGGGTCGACTTTGTTGCGGACCTTCCCTATTTCCTCGTCCTCCTCGCCGTCTTCCAGCGCTTCACATTGCAGGATGGGGGCATCGAGACGCGCCTCGTGAACGAAGCTGAGAAACATCACCGAAGGATAATCAGCTCTGCAGGCAAATATGTGGCTGGGGAGCATCCACATCACGACCGTGAGGACTTCCCGTTCACTTGCAGCGCAGGCACAAAGGTATCGGTCGCTAGGTCGGAGCCTGTATATGACCGCTACAGCTTGCCCGGCCGAGGTACGAGCATGTACAAAGCCAAGCGGGGAGTTCCGCATGGAGAAGAGCTGGTGATGAAGATCTACTGGCCGGAGATGGAGCGGAGGAGCGAAGTCGACATACTGAAAGCGATCTCGAAGCGAAGAGCGAAGGAGACGATCTCGTCAGGGGGCATGTTCCTTTTCTAGTGGACTCGCAAGATTTGGCTTACTCCACGGGGACCATTCGCGACGACATTTCGCTACTCGGCGAAGGAGGGAACGTGGTGAGCGGCCCGCGCATCCTCCGCGTCATCCTGTTGCGCAAGCTTGAACCGATCGAGAACTTGCAGGGTGTCCTTTTTGTACGCGCGTGGATAGACCGCTATCGTTGCAAGTGTTTTGTCCCACTGCATAGCTGGAATCACCCTGATTGGAAGACCGCCATGCGCAGGTCATTTCCGACTCTGGCCGCACGGCGTCGAGCATGGTGACATCAGTCTACACAACCTCATGTACGATCCGGACACCCAACGCAGCGTACTTAATGACTTCGACCTCGCAGTCGTTCGCGAAGGATCTGAAGAAGAGCGTGAGCCTGCTGGGAAAATGCGCACGGGGACCGTCCCCTTCATGGCGTTAGATCTCCTGATGCCGGGCTACTATGGCGGCAAGATCGCCCGCCTGTACCGCCACGACCTCGAGTCGTTCGTGTGGGTGCTCCCCTTCGTCCTCTTGCGCAATTACAGCCCCGACCAAGATGCCCAGCTGGACACTTGATGCACGAGCGATTATGACCGGTGCCGCAAGGAAAATGTGAATGCCCTCAACGCCCTTTCGGACTCTGAGGCCATCTTGTCCAAGTATCTGGTGTATATTAACACCCTTCGATTGTAATCCTCGTCCAGCTCTCCCTCTTGCTGTGGCCGGGCCAACCAATGGTACGCGCTCTCGATAATTATATCGGGAGCACCTGCGGTTGGGTCCTCGACCTCTGAGGGGTATAATCCTCGCTCTACCGCTATCTCCTCGATGGAGTTCCTCATTCCCGAGGGGACAGGTTGATCCATTGGGTCAACTTTGTCTCCTGAGGAATTTTTGAGTTTGTCCATTATCCTTTCAAACCGCTCGTTCTGTGCTTGGCGAGTCTGTTCGAGTGCCTCACGAATGGCCTGCATCTCGTGTTCTTGCTTTTCTTGCAATGCGTCGAGTTCGCAGTTTGCCTCTTCTCGAGCCCACTGGAGTGCCTCTTGGGCTCTCTCTCTGCGCACGCATTCTGACGAGCTCGTGCTTGCAGTGCTTTCTGGGGCTCTATCCTTAGTGTGACGTATTTTGTCCGCTAAGGAAGACGTCGGTTGCGCTGGCAGGGCCGGGGATGGAAATCTCTGAGTAATGTGAAGAATGTCGTGGTGTCTTCCCATTCTCGTCGTTTCTGTTTCTTCGCTGGCCTGGTGAGATCCAGTGGATCTCACCAGTGTTCTGACGTTATGGTCGGAGGTGGATTCCCACCACTGCTTGTCCGTTCGGCCTCCTTGTGTTGAGCGTGGAGGTTCGACATACGACAGTGTAGGGGATCGTGGGGCTGGTGATGCCAGTTATTGCTCATGGTCCGTTATTTCTGGGGCTGGTGTGCCAGTGTCCATGTGCATGCCATCATGGGGTGTGCTCTCGGCCACATCTGCCAGAGTTGCGTGCTCTGCCTGTCTTGACTGAGAGCATGTTATTCATGTGTTTTTGGGGCCTTGACTTGTCATTGGGTGGCAAGTTACGGTTCTTGATTTCTTGATGGGGGTCTTCGCTGTCGAATAGAATTTTTCACAGGGCGAATTGGACTGTAAAAAAGTGTAATGGGGGGCGAGACCTTATCACACCGAACCTCAGATACAGTGCACCAAGCTCTATTCTGGAGCGTCATGCGTGTATCAAGGTCGTGGTGTGTAAAGTCTCTGACTTCAACACATCGACGCGCGCTCGATACATGCAGAGCGCATACAAACAGTACACAACAGTTACATAATACATGATGAGATTAGATAAGATTAGGGCACAAGTACCGCTTGGTACTTGTGCCCCGCAATACAACAGCAGCACGTTACAGCTAGACTACCCAAAAGAAACTATATGAGAGTACAGTAGTTGTGTTCATAACAACTCACTGCCTGCGCTGAACTGACTTCATCAGGATTCTTCTGATTACGAGTAACAAGTTACAGGGAGGAGTGGAATGAACTCCTATTCTTTTAGTTTATCACTTGTAGGGTAAGCTACAAGCAGAGGAAGAACTTTTTACTTATAGGGATATAAGTGGAGAGAGAAGACTGAGGGTTGGGGCACCTCGGGGGTCCTTTTATACCCCGCGGGTGTCACCCTTTGTGACCATTACATAGTAGTGTTACATGGCAAATTGGCCAATAGCAAAATAAGAGCATCATGTGATCAAAGGGGAAAGTAGGAAGGAAAAATGTCTTAGGACCTTCATGTCCAATAGCATAAAGTGAGCAGGGAGAAACAGGGAAGACAAAACTCTTAGGACCTCCATGTCCAATAGCATAAAGCGAGCAGGAAGAAGTAGGGAGAACACACTTTCCGAGTTTTTCCCATCCAATAGCATAATGTGAGCGTCAGGTGACACATTCGGCCAACGTTCTCGGATTCCATCTTAGTCACATGACTTCTTCGTTGAGCACTTCACTGGTGGTTACGTGTTCACAAGCCAAACACTTTTGGTGCATGACACTGCCTTTATATATATATATATATATATATATATATATATTGTCTTTACATCAAACACACACAATCTACATTGAACACTCACAATCTACATGTACACTACTAAGTGAAATCGGAATTGGCGTGCAGATGCAGCGCCAACTTCTCACAAGTACTGTATTATTACGACCACTCTAGTGCATCGAGTGTGACATGTGACCAGAAGTCTCAGTCCGGTGCCATGGCAGGTGGCTCGGAGATGTGTGACATGTTGACCTGATGGTGGTGCAGGCAGCGAAAAATGGGTGTAGGAGGCCCGGAAAGCCCGAAAACTGGTGTGACATGCCGCTGTCAGGCAGCGCAAAGCCCAGTAATACTGTGACACTGGCCAAATACTGGCGAGGATGGGGGCTGTGTTATGCGTGACTGCCGGAGTGGTCATAATGATACAGTATGTTTCCTGCACTTACGTGCACACAGCGTAGCTAGGCCCCACTTTTCTGAGAGTGTGGACCTCTGCTGCCTGATGTTCTTTCAGTCCCATTCTCGCCTGTTAGACAGAGTGCTTAAAGGCATATTTTTTGTACCTACCATGTTAGAAAGTGCGGGGGCTCGCAGCCCTGTTGGGAAGTGAGGGATTTGATCTGAGAGAATCGGACTAAATGCAAAGGTACAAACTGCACTGACAGTTGGTTGCAAAATGATAGGTAGCATTGCTGAAGTTCAGTTCGGTCCAGTTCAGACGTCATTTTCTCCGAACCTGAACCTGAACCTACAGTGAACTCGCCGAACCAGAACCAAGCCTGAACTGTAGGTTCGGAATCAGTTCGAACCTTTGAACCTGAGGTTTTTCAATTTAGCAATTCTAAGGACAATGAGGGCCTCCCACCTTTACTCTACATGCTTATTAGTATTGTTGGTGCATTACCCACCAATCAAAATGCTCTAGTGAAATGTGTAAAATGGTAATCTCATATTTGACCATAATTGAGTATTACATAAGATATGCCACACAGGGTAGGTTTCTGCAATTTCGGCAGAATATAAGAGACTATAGTCAGCACATGTACTTTCTATATCATTTTGCAGTCTTTAGTTGCATTGACAACTTTCAAAGTCAATAAGGTCACCCATATATTTGGTCTTTCTAATGAGTTCTAGCCTATAAGGTTTGAACCAGTTCATGCTTGAACCGAACCTACCCAGCAGAGGCTGAACCAGAACTAGAACCAGAACTGAACCTGAGTTCAGTTCAAAGGTTCAGGGTTCGAACCTAGGCTCCTGCTCATCCGGCTCTGGGAGGTAGGGGCCCTTCCTAGAGTGCAGCACGAAATTAGCCACACATTAGCCACTGATCATGTGCAAGTTTCAGACTCCCCAATTCTAATCCCCCTTACCTCCCTACACCGGCTGGCAGAAAACATTGGTAAACAATGGAGCTCGGCACGTGGACGCCTCCGTTTGGCAGGTGCTCTGCCGATTTTCAATGCGTCAGATGCATTTATGCGTTTAGTTCTTCCTGGCCACACCACCACCTTCATCGCATCCTGGACTCAAGCTTACTGAGGGCATCTGGCGATAAACCACCTCTCCCTTCCTTGGATGACATCTGGAGCAAAACTTTGCAGCATCTGAAGCGTCAACCATGTCTATGGCAAGCCCGAGTTGTGCAGGAAGTTTTGAAGGGTGAGAAAAATGTGATATGCGTCGCACCTACTGGATCCGGGAAGACGCTAACGTTCTGGATGCCATTATTATTTCACAAAGATGGCATTCAGATCGTTGTCGCTCCATTGAATGTCCTCAGAACTTAGAATGAAGCCGAGCTCACAGTGCTGAGAATTAGTGCAGTTGCCGTGAGAGCGGAGACTGCTACTGCACAATTATTTCAGGTAAAGTGTTATATATTGATGGATACTTGAACTTCACTGAATCGAGCGCACAGGAAATTGAAGACGGCAAGCACTAAGCCATAGTGGCAAATCTCGAGGAGCTCATGAAAGATGGTGGTGAATTTGAGAAGTTATGGAAAAAGCCACAGTTTGTTTCACGTCTAATCAGCATTGTATGAGATGAAACACACTGCATAAAAATTTGGAGCAGCTTTCGCCCCGAGTACAAGGATACACATCGACTGTGATTCTTGCTCTCACATGTGCCATTCCTCCTGGCTTCAGTGACTCTACCCGATCCTATCCATGTGGATGTCATGTGCCCTCTTCAAATTCAACTCGCCCACTGCACAGTCATCCGACGCTCAAATGACTGCCTGAATGTGCACCTAGTCGTGCGCAAGATCTGTCACCCTCTCAACAGTTTTGATGACCTGGCATTCCTTATTCCTCCTAACTGGAAGCCTGGAGATCGCATCCCGAAATTTCTAGTCTTCTTTGACAACATTGACGAGTCAATAAAAGTGGCTGACAAACTTCGGGTGTGACTACCTCTTGAACATCGCAACAATATAGTTTGGTTCAATTCCCGCATAACTGAGACTTTCAAAGATGAAGCACTGGGCAACTGTAGGAAGAGTGACCTGTACGGATTGTACAGTACTGATTCATTCGGTATGGTGAGTGTATTTCACTGATACCAATGAAATACGGCTCATTGGAATGCACAAGGGTGTCAATATTGCTGACATTGAGATCATAGTCCAATGGAGGATGTCGTGCGACATGAACACACTGTGGCAGCATTTCGGGTGTGCTGCATGCAATCTCTCTCTCCAGGCAATCACGATCCTGCTGGTTGAATCAAAGTATCTTGATCTAAGGAGCATTTGAAGGCGAAAGGTAAGGAAAGGACCAAAACAACAGCAGCTTTAAAATAAAAGGTGAATGAGCTGATGCAATGCAATATGAAAGCTGCCCAAATAGCAGTCCGTAGTACTCCTGGGCATCATGAACCTGAATGCGCAGACAGTAACTTTACTGTTGTAGAGCCGATAATGACAGAGACAGAGGATTCGCCACATAACAAGACACAAGAGTACATTGACAGCTTGCGTGCCGAATATCTGCAGGTGGAGAGGGTGACAAAGGCAAGTGCGCATGTTTCATCGAAAAAGCCTTCAGATGCCGATATTCCACTGGAGCTGGATAAATTTATCAATGCTGCAACATGACCATTCAAATGCTATAGAATTCCTATGATGGCCTACTATTCAAATGACAAGACAGGTAAGCACAAAGTTGCACACTTACATGTGGACTGTGAGTACTAACTGTTTACCTGATCAGAATCTGACCATCAGTTGTGTCGTCCTGACTTACCAGGAGGGTGCATGCGATGTGCTGCAGTCAAGTCCACCATCTGTTGTGCTCTTTGTACACCTGCGCACTTCACAGATTGTTTTGCAGACTTGTTAGTCTCAGTGAACCACATTCCCACAGTCCATGCCTCATGTGTTGAAAAAATCTACACTATGTCCACTGACTGGAGATCGCTTTGGAGAAGCAACACT